CCCCCCCCCCATTCTAAAGCTCTCTAGAGAGTGGTCAGCAGTATCCGGTTTTCAATGTAAATAAACAGGGGAAGTGAACATCATTAACTCTGAAAAATATGCATAGATGGCAGGACATGTAGACAATAGAAGCAGGAAGTATAGGAAGCAGAATATTCATCTGATTTAATCAGATTCAGTATAGTTTAATCCATAGATTATAACATCTATATTTAGACAAATATTTATCCATATTTGATTAATGTAATTCCCATCAAATATATATTCAATATACATATCTATCTATCTACATATTTTTACATAAATATATATTTATTATATTCCATATTCTCACAAAGAAAGCATTACTATTTTTGTAGGCTTCCAAATTAATCCTCGAGGATGATAATTAAAACTGTAAACGTACCTTCAAGTGACTCTACAGTTGTAAAGTATCGTGTCTGAACCCTTTAAACCTTTCACTGATCAATTTGATTTTTCTACAGAAAAGCTTGTGATAGTTAATAACTTTATTTGCAAGCTGTTTTGTATATTAAAAATATTAATATTTACTTTCCAGAAGTTGAAAAATAAATATTTCATTTTGATTTTTTTGATACCCGTGTTATACATAGAATATTCTGTAGAATATAAAGCTGTTTTGAGTTCACATATATTGAAGACAATTTTCGATTTTAATTTTGATTTATATCCAGCTTTTAAACAGCATGGATACACAAAAACAAGGAAACAGACAGAGAGAAGCTGTCAATTAAAAAAGCTTCACTCAAATTGCATGTAATTTTGTAGTAAGAAAAAAGCTTGTTAACAAATAAAACTTAAATAAAAAATTCGTCTTTATTATATTGCTACAATCGCCAACCACCGTATGCAAGCAAGTTGAACGCCAATTTTAAGATGGGGAGTCAATAGTTTAACTAAAAATATACGTAAAAATCCAATGTTTGGAATTAAGCTTCTAAACCTAATATAACACTTCAAGATGTTCCTAATTGCCAATGTTTGATATTTTAGGGTCTAGTAAGTAAAACTCTAAAAATATGACGATCTCAAGCTTGAGTTGTTATTTCTCCATTCATCTGAGTATTTTTATAATTTACTAAATCACCAAGTACAGAAATATGCCAGTATTGGCCTACAAGGAACACTAATTACAAGAAAATTTCATCCTTTGTGGGTAACCCTGTATGTTACATGTGTACTTTCAAATTGGAGAAGAATTAAATATTAAACCATCTAAAATTAGAACATCAAAGTTCAAGTATAAAATGTTTGAAAACTTTTAATTATAATTTAAACTAGAAATAATAGAACACACTCTCACTATAATTCTATATTTTACAGGCGTAATTCACAGAGATCCATACTCCATAGCACATTAATTGAATAGTTCAGTTCTTGTCCCAGCAATCTCCGACTTTCGATTACAATGTGACTAATTAAACATCAGTTTTTCTCCTTAATACTAGTTTCGTCGGCGGATGTGTTTCCAATTATAATAAACAAACAGCGACTCCGAAAGCCTAAAGATTGTTGAATTGTCCCCGGTTAGTCTCGTAAGTCCAAGGTGGTGAAGCTTTGAAAAATTTCTTCGCACCTTTGAATTTAGGTTATCAAATACATGTATACATTTGTGTACTTGAGATTTCAGTTATTACTCCCAGAGCCCAAAATTTAAAAAAATATCGTTGAACGAAACTCCCGAGTTTCCTGTTTGGAGTGTATACATTTATGTAGATTTTCATTTAAGAGATTCAAAAATAATAGAGAACATGAAGAAACTAAATAAATTCATATTTCATTACAAAAATATTTAAATCCACGAAACTGTCTAACTCCATTCGTGAAACTCGGGTTACAAAACTGGGTTTCATAACGATACACTGTCTTAACTTTTGGGCTCAGAAAGTAAACCTTTAACGTACACATTACACAACCCCAAAAGGGTATATTCCCTGCAGTACATTTAAAAAGCGCTACATGCACAATTCACAACGATACCCTTTATCGGATTATGGATGAAAAACATATTGTCACTGTTCTGCATCATGAAGATTCTCTCAATTTCCTTCATTATCTTTGCCGCAAAAATCCACAAATCTTATGTTGTAGAGAAACCTTAATTGATAAAAAATTATTATTTCAGATCGAACAATAAAGATAACTCAACCGTTTTAGCTCCAAGGTATAATTTTGATCATTTGAAACCAAGTCTATAGTCCCTTTAAGATTGAGCACAAGGTTTGCACAACACCATATCCCACCATCCTGGTTATATCTAGATATCCAGGCATATATCTAGGCATATATCCAGGCATATATCTAGGCATATATCCAGGCATATATCTAGGCATATATCCAGGCATATTTCCAGGCATATATCCAGGCATATATCTAGGCATATATCTAGGCATATATCCAGGCATATATCTAGGCATATATCCAGACATATTTTCAGGCATATATCCAGGCATATATCTAGGCATATATCCAGTCATATATCCAGGCATATATCTAGGCATATATCTAGGCATATTTCCAGGCATATATCCAGGCATATATCTAGGCATATATCCAGGCATATTTCCAGGCATATATCTAGGCATATATCTAGGCATATTTCCAGGCATATTTCCAGGCATATATCCAGGCATATATCTAGGCATATATCCAGGCATATTTCCAGGCATATTTCCAGGCATATATCTAGGCATATTTCCAGGCATATATCTAGGCATATATCTAGGCATATTTCCAGGCATATATCCAGGCATATTTCCAAGCATATATCCAGGCATATATCTAGGCATATATCCAGGCATATATCTAGGCATATTTCCAGGCATATATCTAGGCATATTTCCAGGTATATATCTAGGCATTTATCTAGACATATATCCAGGCATATATCCAGGCATATATCTAGGCATATATCTAGGCATACATCTAGGCATATTTCCAGGCATATATCTAGGCATATATCTAGGCATATATCCAGGCATATATCCAGGAATATATCCAGGAATATATCCAGGCATATATCTAGGCATATATCCAGGCATATATCCAGGCATATATCTAGGCATATATCTAGGCATATATCTAGGCATATATCTAGGCAAATATCCAGGCATATATCTAGGCATATGTCCAGGCCTATATCTAGGCCTATATCTAGGCATATATCCAGGCATATATCTGTACTGGAGACGGTATGCAGAGTATGCTCTGATCATGCATGTCTGAAACTGAATACGAGAAATCTAAATATTATTTTTTGCAAAGAGAATCACGAACCAGCAGAAGATTCAAGTGCAGTGCAAGAAATAGAAGAAATTATGGGGGAAAAGAAGGGGGAGGTACAGGGTGTCCCAATAAACATGGGAATTCAGTGACGAATTCGATATCGTCTTTTTAAATAATTCTTTGATTTAGTATAGTGATATCTACTGAGAAAGCTGTAATCTGTAAGAGTTTTGTCTGCTTGGTTCACATTTTGTTTGTTTATGTTTTGACTGCATTCGGTTGTACTGAATAAAACAAGAAAATTACAGCATACAAACAGAGTAAACTTGTCTTCACTGTTCATCTTGCGGAGACATTATAGACACATCTTTACAGTCTTTTACCCTTTTCATAAAATAAACTCTAGCAGACATAATAATATTATGGCTTTTGAAATTAGGTATTACAATGCTAATTCATAACAAAGACGATATCGAATTCGTCACTGAAATCCCATGTTTTTTGGGACACCCTGTACAATGAACCTTTTAAAATTCTAAAGACTTGAACTCTAGGGCGCTTCGCGTCTCTCTTTTTCACTAATAATTATAACGCTGAAAAGTTACTTTCATCTTTGTATCTTAAGGAAGCAGCTCTCCTTATACCGAAAAAAAATTTCACCAAACCCATGTGTCAACATTGATACAAATTTAAAATGAGGTATTGAATCTAAAGAAACCGCTTATTGTGCTCTGAATCTATTTAATATCTTAAATATTTCTTTCATGGTAATTTTCTACAGGACAATTTTTGAACCTAACTCTACCGTATTGTAAAATAAATAGTATTATTTCGTGTTGAAAAATAGTTGAAATCAGGAGTATGTTGCAAACATCATTTACTGGGACTGACCTCTTTTTATAGTTCTGATAATTCAAACTATAATTCTAATCTAAAAGTTTGTTGAATTGGTTTAAAAATTTCAATATGTTAGTATATACGACTATGCATGGGACAGCAGAAAAGATAGATATATAAATAAATAGATAAATAAATAAATAAATATATAAATAAGTAAAGTTCGTTAATTTTAATTCCATTAATATCTTTTTAACTCAAGATATTTCGATTTAAGATAAATGTTAAAAATTGATTCGTTGTTTACATTTAGAAAGGTTGCCGAGGAAATTCGGTTGCGAAGAGAGAGACTATGACCCTTTTTTAACGATGACCCAAAAGTAATGCCACACCGGCCATGAACCACCCTAGAATCTTTATACCATGTTAGGTCCTAAAAAAAGTTCAGCCAATTCAACGTTTAATGGATATAAACAAATAAACATAATTCAAATAAGAATTAAATATTTTGGTAGGGTTCACACCAATATTTTTGTATTTATATATGAGAACAAACTTAACAATGATCAAAAAAATAAAACAAATATTTCGCTAGTTTTTATCACCATTTTTTTTGTTTCTTACTCATTACTAAAGCAGTATTTCAAACCCAATTTATCAAACAAATTTACTAGGAAGCGCCAACTCACCTCTTCACTAGAATTATTATTGAATAAATTGTTGTCTACTTAATAATGAATAAACCCCCCCCTTTCCCTTCAACATTCCTTACTTCCAGTTCCTGTTCCGGTTCCAGCCCAACCAGGAGAACCAGGAGAATCAGGAAACTCAGGAAACCCAGGAAAACCAGGAAATCCAGGAAAACCAAGAAACTCAGGAAACCCAAAAAAAAAGGAGAACCATGAAAAGCAGGAGTTCTAAAGAATCCGGAGAACCAGGAGAACCACGAGAACCACGAGAACCAGGAAAAGCAGGAGTTTTAGAAGAATCAAAAGAATCAGGAGAACCATGAGAAACAGAAGAAACAGGAGAACCAGGAAAAGCAGGAGTTCTAGAAAAATCAGGAAAATATTGAGAACCAGGAGAACCAGGAAAACCAGAAGAACCAGAAGAATCGGGAGAACTAGGAGAACCAGGAAATCAGGAGAATCCTGGAACTGAGTTGTATTTAATAAGCATAATTTAAATCTTTTCTTTTTGTAGAGAGGAAATGTATCATGTGCTATGATATATTAGTCCTGTATCCTGGTCTACCCTCTACCCTCTACACTCTACACTCTACAGGGTTGAAGGATAAGAACGGAGAGGATAGATTGATCTCCTAGCAGTTTACACACCTCACCAGGAGAATATATGATTGATTATAGTTACAAACTCAGAGGGTTTTATCAAGGAAGGCCAGAGACTCGAACTTAAAACATTACACTACAAGACCTGAGGCCGAATTTAAAGAATTTGATCCGCGGTTTAAATTTAAGCCGCGATCAAATATGGTTGGTTCCACTTAAATTTGTATTAATTTTTTTCAAGATTTAAGCCAACGGTCAATTAAAACCGGTTTTTGGCGGATTTATGACGCGGTTCAAATTCATTAAATTCGGACATTGATTTCCTAAACCGAAAAAAGCTTGATCCTGATCCTCAGTTCAAGTTGACCCTACAGAAGAGTAGGGCTTAACGACCAAGGGATATCGCAGAGGAATTTAATTATTCCATTGGTTTGCATAAGATGGAGATTAATGCTTGATCCTAAGATTCTGAGTCTGAATTTAATGAATTTGAATCCACCAAAAACCAGTTTCAATTGAGCGCCGGCTTAAATCTTGAAACATCGAATACAATTTTAAGGAACCAACCTACACCATATTTGAGCCAAGGCTCAAATTCTTCAAATTGAGCTTGTAATCATAATACATTAATGATATACAGTTTGTTCCCTATAAACTTTATATTAATTTTAAATCTAAATAAGTTGTGGAATACAAAATAGTTTGCTGTATTGAATATTTGATACAGTTTGGTATTTCATTTTGTTGTAAATATAATAGAACAGTTTGGTATTTCATTTTGTTGTAAATATAATAGATGACTCGATTAATAAGTCTAACAATGTAACAAGGAAAATTTAATGACGCACAAATACAAAAAACAGATTTCATAGACGACTAATGTTCATTCTTATTTCGCATTTTTATAGATCCCTGAACAGCTGAATTTGAATCATTAAATATGGCAATGCCCGATTCAGAAGAGTGCCATTAACATTTCTTTGGCTGATCAAGTATGAATTACGAGTGATTTGAGCATTTCCACTGCACGAAAAAATGAAGAAGTTGTTAGAATTAAACACTTTCTAATCTAATAAACAATATCTTGCACATTTTTGAATCTGAAATTGCCATCTTTGTCTGGGTGGCCACTTTCAGGAATCAGTCCCTTTAATAAATCAAAGTAAAAATTTGTTCTTGTTCCACCTGCAAGATCTTTATCATAGTAAATTCAAAGCCTAATCAATCAGGAAATCATTTTTTGTACCGATTCAATACTCCGTCTTCAGTGCACTAAATATATACTCCTGCTTCACAGTGCACTACACCTATCATCAATATTGATTGGTTATAGTGTAAACTGATTTAGCCTTGCCCGTCAAGTCAAGGGTATATAGTGTACTGTATCTAGAATCCTCGGTAAAGAAAGAGTGGCGTGATGCAACCTGAATTTTAACAAAATTATAATTTAATTAATTCCCTCTAGCAATGTTCAATATTATAGTTCTATGTAAATCTACTTATATTTTAGCTCAGGATCCTGTATCGGAAACAGATAAAATTGATCCCAGAAACAATTTTCAGAACCTCCATTTTCATTTAAACTTTCAACATTCTTAGATTGAATATTGTTCAGTATTATACCGGTTAAATTTCATTTTAAAAAAAATGCTTTTTGGATTTAGAGAATTTTCCAAAATTATGGCAACCCCTTTCTCTTATTCACACTAGAGATGTATGGACAAGAAATGCTGCCAACTTCTCCTTCAAAATAAAACATGGCGTGGAAATTTCTATTATGTGATTTTTTAAATAAGATTTCAATGTAGGTCTGGCATGGTAACACTTCAATGTCGTCCCGGTCTTTTGAGTGCACAAATACCACAGTAATCCCTTGGGTGCAAGCTCTGAGAATTTTGCCGACAACTTCTAAAATACTAAACCTAAAGACAACGGCTTTACAGTTTTAAAATGATTTGTCTAAAGACAGCGAAAAATGTTTAGCGAGTTAAGAGTGATAAAATTAAGTGACAATGATTTGCTTCACTTTGATGCAATTTTTCAAAGCAGTCTGGATCTATGTGATTATGTTCATAACTTGAAGATTGCAACATGTTTACCATGGCTTTAGTACAAAGTGTCCCTCATCATATAAGATCGACTAACTAGAAGAATTGAAGTGATCTAATCATTAACATAGTTTCTCTTGCTAAAAAACCTTTCAGAAATCATGCAAACGAAATCGGAGCCAACGGAGGTAATTTCTCCAGGGAAAGATGTTGAGAATCTGATTTCATTAGGTTGTCAAGTAAATATTTGGGTTTACACTAAAAAAAGAACCAGCTACCATTAATTCTGACGTCATGTCTTGCAATAAAGATTTTACAGTGGGAACCAGAAAAAGAAACTTTTTTCTCTCGATCCCTTCCAGTTATGGTATTCCTTCATTACATTGCAGTTACAGTTTTCGCTTTTAAAAATCCTTTTCCTGCTTCAAGGACAGTATAAGTGTAATAATAGGAATGCAAAATCCTTCTTTTTTTCCATCATTTCTTTTTCAGACAAAAAATGTAAGTTTCTTAAAATAATAAGCAAAATTAATATTTATAAAATAGTATATAATGCTTGCAGACAAAAATTTGGCAACTACTGCAGGGTTTCCATCGAGATCAAAGAAAGAAAGAAACTGACAGAAGTATCTTCATCGGTAACTGATATGATATCGGAAATAAATATATCTTTTTTGTTATTAGGTGCAGTTTGACTGATTAAATTTCTGTCACAATTTTTGGTCAAAGTAAGCAGTTTTTCCGCCAACCAAAAAATGCTAAGTTTGAAAGATTCAATTAAAATCATAAATAATCGCTTTATTAAAGTTACACAAAAACAATACTATATCTGATTTAAGTAAAATACATAAGTTACATTCACAATTTTGTACCTAATGCAAATATGTAAAGATGTAAAGATGTAGAAATATAAAAATATAAAAGATTACAAAATAGATTTTGAAATATCACAAATTTTCGAGTTCATCGTCATTTAGTTTGATTTGTACAATTTTCTCTCGTTCATTCCTTCCTGCTTTTACCATAACATAGAGAAATAAGAGACATAGAGCTAAACCAACACTAGATAATACCATTCCGATATACCTAAATAATGTTAGGGTTAGAACATTTAACGTGGAACCTAGATAATATTAGGATTAGAACATAACATATACTGTATTCAGTCCTACTCCACATATACCTAGATAATATTAGGATTAGAACATAACATANCAAGACATGGACTGTATGCAGTCCTACTCCAGTATACCTAGATATTATTAGGATTAGAAAAACAAGACATGGACTGTATGCAGTCCTACTCCAGTATACCTAGATATTATTAGGATTAGAAAAACAAGACATGGACTGTATGCAGTCCTACTCCAGTATACCTAGATATTATTAGGATTAGAAAAACAAGACATGGACTGTATGCAGTCCTACTCCAGTATACCTAGATATTATTAGGATTAGAAAAACAAGACATGGACTGTATGCAGTCCTACTCCAGTATACCTAGATATTATTAGGATTAGAAAAACAAGACATGGACTGTATGCAGTCCTACTCCAGTATACCTAGATATTAATAGGATTAGAAAAACAAGACATGGACTGTATGCAGTCCTTGTTAAGCATACCTAGTTAATATATGAACTGGACACATATGTATCTATCAAGTCAGGTTTATTTTGAGATCAACGTGGTGGGTTTACCGGACGGTCTTGTACGAGTTCATGTGTATGCGACATGATTACACTAGATCTATATATCCTTGTACATCATGCAACTATTGGACCCATTTGAGCTGAAGCAATCTTTCTTTAAAAATAATTACTCCCACTTACTTGACTATAGAGGGAGTGTTTACAAGGAACCAGATGGTATACTCAAGGTCTGGAGTAGTCTCTGCTCCAGCATCAAACCAAAGAACTGGGAGGAATGTGTTTGATAGGTTCTCAAAGTTTCTTCCTAGGTTTTCATTCTTACGAAGCTGAAAAAGAGATAAATTTAATACAATTTAAAATTATTTTACAACTTAATAATATTTGCACCCCTTTAAAACATTATTCTTCAATCTTTATTTATTATAAAAACTCAAACCAACCGGACCACTGCAAATTGATCATCTGGGGCGTGCATACCTAAGAGGTTTACAAAATCATCCCTCCAAAATGGACAATAATTGAGGATTTTAAATATTGAATTTGCGCTCTTTCTGAACAAATATGCACCATAAAAACGTCTGATAGGTCTGAAATGAATCCTAAAATATGTCTCAATAATACTGGAATCTCAGTTCAAAAACCATACATTGCCGGTCACTCCCTTAAGTAAAAATCAAAGATGGGCGCAGCACTGTGAAACATGCTTAATATGAACAAAAGGCAAGTTTTACATAGCAATCTTCAGTTTGGAAAATAACTCCATATAACATGGAAATGTTGCCGACAGTGTTTTAAGAAAAATATGATGTTGATTACCATTGGTTTTGATGATGCATTATGGCAACAACGAAATAATAAAGTTTCAATAGTAAACAAAATAAATGATGAAAATAAATCTTTAAAAGATTAAATAAATCAATTGTCAAGAAATAAAAGTCGGAGTCAATGATAATTGTTTGACAAATAAAAAATTAAGTATTTTAAACTGAGAGGGAAGGGGAGTTGGGACATATTCTTTATTTTAAGAATTGGTGTAAAGAGATTGATTGATTGATAAACCCAAACAACTAATTTCAAATGAGAAGAAAATATTATATTTGGCATATTAACTAGAGGAAGAATGAAGATTGATGTTTTTAAGTTCGTCCAATATTTCAAGATGATGGATGATGGATGATGGATGATGGATGATGGATGATGGATGATGGATGATGGATGATGGATGATGGATGATGGATGATGGATGATGGATGATGTTCAGGATATTCATCAACCAGTCTTGAAGTACAGGATGTTCATCAAACAGTCTTGAAACATTCCAATCTCAGTCTTAGAATCTCATTCAGTCCTTCGAGTGTCGGATTGATGAAGGACTGAAGGAGATCCTAAGACTGAGATTGGAAGAGGGTCACCATCATGCCCAAGGACATCGAGTTTGCCAGGAGAGAATCCTTTTTTACTCTATAGAAGTTTGGCCACCAGTATCACCATCACCAAATTTGTACCAGTTCAGAAGGAAATTAAGTACAGGGAGTGCTTCTGTATATATATCAGAAGCACTCAATCTACCAAAATATCCTAACTGTACAGGCTACATACAGGATGTTCATAAACCAGTCTTGAAGTACAGGATGTTCATCAAACAGTCTTGAAACATATCAATCTCAGTCTTAGAATCTCATTCAGTCCTTCGTGTGTCAGATTTTTTTTAACATTTTTTTCCTCATAAGATCATCATAATCTAATGCAAAACATAAAAGAAAATCGGGATGAATGTATTGATGACCCCACCCTGCAATTGTCNTTAAAGAATTCAAAACACTTTGATATCAAAAACCTTTGAACGCATCTCATGAAACTGTAACATTTTATCAAAATATAATAGAACCTCCTAAAACTAGAATTGGGTCAGAGAGACGTAGAATCGTAGAGAGAAACTTAACCAACCTGAAGAATTATCTGAAGTCTCATCTTAACTTGAACAGGTATACTAGTATCAGGTTGTAGGATCATGTAGGCTGAATGCTGCTCTGGGTCTGGGTTTAAGCTACCTGGTTGGAATTGCTTCAGGTAGGATGGATCAGCATCAAGGAAGTGAGGAAGTGAAACAAATACGGGAAGAATCCCAGCATCCTTGCACCCAGTAGAATTATGTATCCCTAAGATATGGTACTTTTCAAAATTTCAAATATGTGAATATGTGAGATGAGTTCAGCAAGAAGCCCAAATCCTGAACCAGCCCGATTGTTTATAAAATTAGCGATGGAATAATTTTTTCATTTACAAATAAACTAGATGGTACGGCAAATCTGATATCAGCTTATTCGATCAAACACTAATTTTTGTCATTAAAGATATAAACGCATTAAAAGATATTAATAATCTAACCTGCAGGATGAAATGTGTTGTAGCAGATGTTCTCTGGGTTAGTGCTCTCATTACCAAAGGTCTCCATAGGGTTGACCGAAAACTTGTGGACGGGGAGCTTATTGTGGATAAATTCTTCAGATTTCTGAAATCTGATCGGTCTACAAATATCCGTAGAGAAGAAATCAAAACTTGTTCTCTTCAGATTCACAGGAAGAAATCCCGACGCAGAACCTTGAAAAAGTTAAATTATAAATATTTCTTTATAATTCATTAGGATATCAGAGTGCATCACGCCCGTCTGATATATGTTAACTTTTAATTTTGAGCTTTCTTTCAGCATTTTTTAAATTCGATATAATTTTTCTTGTCGATTTTTTTGTAATTCTGAGTATCCATAAACCTTCACTGGGTTCTTTTGGGTTCCCAAAAAATCCGGACCCGATCAGTTTAGTTTTTTTGAAAGTTACTGGTCACAAACAAATTGACAGCCAAACAGACAAGCAAAGTATTTATATAGATTTCTGAAATTACCTTTCAGCTGACCACATTTTCCTGAATAATGTGTTCTAGTTGAATTCTTCCACGTTTTGATTTCCCCCAGCTGAGTGTAGTTCTGTTCCCCGGTGGCCATTCCAATGACGTCATCTGCCCACGTGGTTCCATTTCTTCCATAGAACCAACCAAACTTATCCAGGGGAACTTTGGAATCCTAAAATAAAAATAATCTTAGATGAGAACTTGATCTCGTTCTCTACTTGCTGAAGAAATATCTTTGCTCAAAAACCCCTAAATTGTTTACAAAAGAAAGTCCAAACCGTAAAAGTTTACACTAACTCTTAACTAAATGCTCCTTAATACTAAAAGCTCCAAGTTCTGAATAAAGAAGGCATGCAGTATAATTGTAAATTCGAATCTTATGATTTGTAAATTGAAAAACTGGAAAATTCCGATTTTTTCTGGCTTAGATCTTTTTAAAAAAGAATTGTGCATTCTGTTTGCAAGCTATAAATAATAGCTGGAACAGACGTGATGCATCGAATTTAGACCAATTAAAAATATTGCAAGTTGCAACTATAGAGATATACAATACCGGGTTAAAGAAAGCTCCAGCTGTGAGCAAAGGATCAGAAAATCCGTCAAATAAAAGTTCTCGCGCAGTTTTCTGTGTAAACAAAGATGGCCGCCAGCTTAATGTAGATCTCATCATAAACTCCTGAATAATCATCTTTATTATTTCGATTAGTTGTCAAATATAAAACTTCATATAAACTGAAGAGTGACTAGGGGGGGGGGCAAGAGGGCATGGCCCCCTCTAGCCTGATTAAGGGGGGGGGGCTTTGCCCCTCCCATTAAGAAGGCTTGCCCCCCCCCTGTAGTGGGGGGCACCCTGTTTTGAAATTTAGCGATTCATGAATTCCTGGGAAAGGGGGTTTATGAAGTATATTTAGATATTTTCACATCAGTTCTGCCACTTATTATGATATTGCTTTAATACTGTAGTACAACTGTTCAATTAATCCTATATGTTCACCGCAAATATTGTGTGATGTGTCATATCAACAAAAAATATTTTTTCATGTAAAATCATGATTTTTTGATGAGTACAATGTACATATTTGATTTATGGATGAATAATAAATTCAAATTTATGTAAATTAATTAATATTGTGATTTATATTAACCAGAATAGATTTATTTATTTATTTCATATCAGATGTGTTGACTTACTGAATTTCTATTTGATACGGTTATATTTTTTATTGTTTGAGTATATTACACATTTTTCTTCCCCCCCCCCTAAAAATATTAAGTGGGGGGCAAAAAAAATTTTTTCGTTCCGCGCGAAATATTTCACTCTTTCCCCCACCTTAACAAAATGTCTAGTTGCGCGCCTGAATGTATTAAGATAGAAAACCGAATCTTAATAGAGGTTCACTTGAAGATATTTACAGTCCAGCTTTAATGGTTTATTTGAAGGGATTCATTAGTTATATCAAGCACATTTTTTTGCAGCAAAATTGGAAAAAACACGATGTTTTTTATCCAGTATAGAATTAAATACTTAAGAACCATACCGACCATTTTCCTCTGACTGACTCAGCAGCTGCAAACTGAGGGATATCTAGAGTTGTAATGAGAGTATCCAATGATACAGATTCTTTGGATATTGGATACCAAACCTTACGTGTCCTGGATATCAGTATCTTTATCTCTATTAGTCTACTAATCTATCAATTAAAACTCGATTAATAGATTAATAGTTTTATTAAAAAGATATTTTCCTGAAGTTTACATTTCCAAATTTTGAGAAATCCTGATCAACCCTCTCCAACTCCTCCCTATACAGTTTTATATGTTATTTACTCAAGTACCCGGCGTTGCCCGTGGAAAAAAAAGGTTCCTTATTTTTTTTAGGAAATTTTTTTTAGCCTTTGTTACCCCCGGGATACCCCTGGGTTACCTTAAAAAAATGTCAGTCAATTTGGTTCAGGCGTTTGGCCGGCAAAAGGGAACATTTATACGAATGTCTTGTTTTGTTATTTAAATTTACATAATAGGCTTTCGCGCTCATCTTCGATTTTAACATTTATTTGTTGCTCTATCTGTGACATTTTCTCTTCTTATATTATCACACAATAACAAAAAAATTTCTTCATTTTTTGTGGATTTGTAAGAGGGATTTTTTGAAAGGCAAATTTTTTTAAGGTAGTTTTTTAATTCTCATCCTTTCCTGGAGTCATGTGAGGTCCGATAAAAAGTGGGGCCCAATGCTCAGCAGTTTTGACATTTATTGGATACTAACGGACAGACAAACAAGCAAAGTATGTATCTTGTAAATAAAAGATTATGATACTAGACATTGTAAAACAAAAACAAAACAAAAAAGTTTGCGGGTTTTATAAAAATTTTTGTGGATTTTCAAAATTTAATGACAATCGAACTTTGCTGGAGGCTAATTTTCGAAATGATCATTCATAAACCTTCCCTGGAGTCATGTGAGGTCCCACACAAAATTTGGGCCAATCGGTTCAGCCGTTCATTGGATACTAACAAACAAACGAACACCCAAGCAATGTATAAAGATAGCGTTGGCGTTGTTTCCAATAAACGTCAAAAGTGCAGAACTGGTTGGGCCAAATATTTTTGTTGGACCTCACATGACTTAATGAGATTAATACTTAATAGCTGATCAGAATTAAAATTATTTGCATAGAAAAACTTAAAATTGGGGTTAAACCAACAAAAAAAAACCCAAAATAAATTTAAAAGGCAGCTTGAAAATTGTTGGAGTGCAGAAAAAATTGCATAAACATATATATTTTTTTTTTCAAAAACATTTTTACTAAGGTTTGCACCTTGGCTGCTGAGTAGTACTAAGTGTGACTAGTACATTGTTCAGTAAATGATAAAAGATAATATTTGAAAATAACTTGTTCTGTAAAAAGTGATCTCTACGTAAAAAATAACCAAGCAAATGAGAGAGACTAAATTTAGAATTTGAGTTTAATATGAAAAAATAAAATGAAAAAACCTTCCTAGAAGTTTTTGTGTACTAGAAAAATAAAAACATTGATAAAAAAAAACTATTTCTACGGTGTCCTAACACAATATTGGATTAAGTGGAGACTAAAGAGCTCGTTTTCCATGGACAAATGATTTAATAAGAACCGAAAGATATTTCCAAAACCTTGATAAGCGCATCTTCCCAAAACATCGTGATCATAAATCATATCCAGGGGCGTATACAGTAATTAAAAACTTCCTGGAAACCATAGATTCTACTAATCCAGGGGGGGGAGCTAAGTGTACGCATCTGAGCATATTCAATATGATGTAGCTATGACACCCTGTACCTGTAAACAAAAGTCAAGATATGGACACCCTGTACCTGTAAACAAAAGGTTCAGAAATATGACAGCCTGTACCTGTAAACAAAAGGTTCAGAAATATGACAGTCTGTACCTATAAACAAAAGGTCCGATCTGTTCTAGCCGAGGTTTACCGCCAGCTTCAACTTCCTCAGGGTTTAACACAGAGAACAAGTAAAACCTGAAAAATGTGAAACAAATCTAAAATTTAGAAAATTCCAATCAAATCATTTATAGGATGAAATCCCCAATCAATGGTTTTCACAAAAGATGAATTTTCTACGGAACTTAGTTAAAAATTTTGTAACTAGAAATTATGTCGACAATCCCTTTAACTAAAGGAAGTACCCTCAAAATTCCTCAAAATTCGTGAAACTATTTCCCCATAGTTTTATTTTCATGGATTATTATGATAAACTTCATGCTGCTTTAAACGTGTTAAAAATGTTAAAAGTTGTTAAACCCACGGGCTTGGCTAAAGATTTTCTGGACTAAATCCGTTCTTATCTTGTCTGTCAGTCCTACTTGATTATTAAATTAAAAATAAAAACACTCAAAAAATTATTTTTAAAACGAACTGTTTAAATGATTGACTAGAGGATAGATGAATAGAAGATACATGGATAGAGGTTGGATAGATTCAAGGGTTTCCCTCATCTTTCTCTAAGTCTAACACTTAAAACTCTTGACATGGGTTAAAATGCTCTATTTAACTTGGATTTCGGACTTCAACTCATTTGATCGCAGTCAAGTTTAATTAATGTGTTTTTTTCAACTCAAGTTTAACTTTTAACACCATAAGGGAAAAGTCGAAACCTTAAGTGAAAAAAATGGTTTATATTAGTCGTGCTTTCAATCCGTTTAATCAGTTCAACAGTTTGAAAAATATAAATTTCTAATATCATTTTCTAGAATATTTGTGCTGCATATGAAAAGATTTATCACACAATAGCAATGCTGCAACACACTTTCAGAAAATACGCATTTAAATGGATGCAAGTTTTATATAAATGATTTTCCAGAACTTAAAATCGACCAAAAAGATCTAAAAAATGTTCTTTGAGCCATAAACATAAGTAAGAAATTTAGTAACCCCCATAGTAAGCTTCTATTTTCAAGTAAAATACAATTCAGAAGAGAACTATATTATCAAATTATCAGATTAAATATATATTTACCTGATATATGTAGAAATCTGAGGTTTACTCCAGGCCTCATAACCTTGTGTTCCTGGGCTAAATATTGAACAATAGTAAAATTAATATTTATGTATCTAATATCTATATATTTCCTCTCATAGTCATCAAAACATTTTCATCCAAACCTTCTCCGTCTCATCCAACTTTGTCCTTCTTCTCATCCCAACCTTTTACTTCTCATTCCAACTCCTCCTTCTCATCCCAACCATATCCTCCTCATCCCAACCTTGTCCTTGTCATCCCAACCCTGTCTTTCTCATCCCAACCCTGTCCTTTATTCCGACCTTGTCCTTCTCATCCCAACCTTGTCTTTCTTATCTCAACCTTGTTCATCTCATCCCAACCATCTCCTTTTCACCCCAACCATCTCCTTTTCATCCCAACCTCCTTCTTTTCATCCCAACCTCCTCCTTTTCAACCCAAACATATCCTTTTCATCTCATCCTCCTCCTTCTCATCCCAAAAATATTATTCTCATCTTAACCATGTCCTTCTAATCCCAACCATATCCTTCTCATTAAAACCTAGTCTTTCTCATCCCAAACTTTTTTTCATCTCAACCATCTCTTCATCCCAACCTTCTCCTCATCCCAACCTTCTTCTCATTCCAACCTTATTCTCATTTCAACCTTCTTCTCATTTTAACCTTCTTCTCATCCCGGCCTTATTCTCAACTCAACATTCTTTGCAACCCAACCTTATTCTCATCTAACCTTATTCTCATCTAACCTTATTCTCATCTAACCTTATTCTCATCCCAACATTCTTATTCTCATCCCAACATTCGTATTCTCATCCCAACCTTCTCCTTATCATCCCAACCTTGTCCTTTTTCATCCCAACCTTGTCCTTCTCATCCCAACCTTCGTATTCCAACTTTCTTATTCAAACTTGCTCATTCAAATATTCATCTCATACTAACTTGAATTCTATTTCTTGTTTTCATCTTTTTTATTCTCATTCCGACCATAAATTTTTATACTCACTTCTCATCCCAACCTTATATCTATCTTCACTTCTCGTCCCAACCTTATATCTATCTTCACTTCTCATCCCAACCTGATATCAATCCTCACTACTCATCCCAACCTTATATCTCTCCTCACTACTCATCCCGACCTTATATCTGTCCTCACTACTCATCCCGACCTTATATCTGTCCTCGCTACTCATCCCGACCTTCTATCTATCCTCGCTACTCATCCCGACCTTATATCTATCCTCACTACTCATCCCGACCTTATATCTATCCTCACTTCTCATCCTGACCTATCTATCCTCACTACTCATCCCACCCTTATATCTATCCTTAGTACTCATCCCACCCTTATATTTATCCTCACTACTCATCCCGACCTTATATCTATCCTCGCTACTCATCCCGACCTTCTATCTATCCTCGCTACTCATCCCGACCTTATATCTATCCTCAGTACTCATCCCACCCTTATATTTATCCTCACTACTCATCCCGACCTTATATCTATCCTCACTACTCATCCTGACCTTCTATCTATCCTCACTACTCATCCTGACCTTCTATCTTTCCTCACTACTCATCCCGACCTTATATACATCCTCACTTCTCATCCCAACCTTATATCTATCCTCACTACTCATCCTGACCTTCTATCTATCTTCACTTCTCATCCCAACCTTATATCTATCCTCACTACTCATCCCGACCTTATATCTATCCTCACTACTTATCCCAACCTGATATCTATCCTCACTACTCTTCCCAACCTGATATCTTTACTCACTACTCATCCCGACCTTATGTCTATCCTCACTTCTCATCCTGACCTTCTATCTATCCTCACTACTCATCCCAACCTTATATCTATCCTCACTTCTCATGCTGACCTTCTATCTATCCTCACTACTCATCCCGACCTTATATCTATCCTCACTACTCATCCCAACCCATAACTTCTATTGTTTATCCTATCTTTTACCTCAGTATAAGTTGAGATCTGACTATGTTATGAAATATCGGAGTAAAGTGCAAGAGGAAGAAGATTCCGAATCCAAGTGTAGTTAAGGCAAAGAAGAGTAGTATAGCTCTAGGTAGGGTGAACACCCTAGACTCATCTGATCTGTTAAACATGTTCAGTAAGAGTGGAGCATGTGGAGCTAAGGACTCTTAGTCTGAAAAATATGAGATTTGAATTATATCGCTGATAATTGTTAACAGTGCATACCGTACATATTATAAACACATGTTCAGTCCAATAAAAACATTTGGGGATAAAGTTTAGATAGAGTTACTGGGTGTCCCACGAAACATGACAGTATGCAAGACGACTTGAATGTCGTCTTGATTTTTTATGTAATTTTCTGCGTTTATTTGTCAACCTAATTTTAGAAGTAAATTACTAGAGATAATAATCACAAAATTCCCCTAGTCCTGTCATTTCCAAAATGTGGTCTGCCTTTTTTGTGTTTTCACTAAATCTTGAATTGAAGATTCTTGAATTTTAACTTAATCACATTATTTATCCAAGCCTTGAATTTAAGATTATTGAATTATAGCTTAATCACATTCTTTTACTAAACATTGAATTAAAGATTTTTGAATTGTAACTTTATCACATTAGTTAGCTAAGCCTTGAATTTAAGATTATTGAACTATAGCTTAATCATATTCTTTCACTAAACCTTGAATTAAAGATTCTTGAATTGTAGCTTAATCACATTATTTCACTAAATCTTGAATTGAAGATTCTTGAATTGTAACTTAATCACATTATTTATCCAAGCCTTGAATTTAAGATTATTGAATTATAGCTTAATCATATTCTTTCACTTAACATTGAATTAAAGATTTTTGAATTGTAACTTAATCACATTATTTATCCAAGCCTTGAATTAAAGATTATTGAATTATAGCTTAATCACATTCTTTCACTAAACATTGAATTAAAGATTTTTGAATTGTAACTTAATCACATTATTTATCCAAGCCTTGAATTTAAGATTATTGAATTATAGCTTAATCACATTTTTTCACTAAACATTGAATTAAAGATTTTTGAATTGTAACTTTATCACAAACTTTATCACATTAGTTAGCTAAGCCTTGAATTTAAGATTATTGAATTATAGCTTAATCATATTCTTTCACTAATCATTGAATTAAAGATTCTTGAATTGTAGCTTAATCATATTCTTGAATTGAAGATTCTTGAATTGTAACTTAATCACATTATTTATCCAAACTTTGAATTTAAGATTATTGAATTATAGCTTAATCACATTCTGTTTTAATTTTCATTTTTTTGTGTTATCAAAAAAACTAGTGATGAATTGTAGCTTAATAAAATTCTTTAACTAAACACAGATTCTTGAATTGGGTGAAACTTGAACTGAAAACACTAAACAACTGCCCTTGTTTGGAAATAAATAACTAAACCAGGGTTGCAAACTTCTATTTGTTTGGAACTACATATTTTTTTTTTCAAATTTCAAATTCCTTAAGAAGCTAAAAAAATTCATTATTTTTTGTTCATTTTCTGAAATTTTCCAGCTTAGAGACGAAAAAACTATTGTTTTAAACACCTGAGGTAAAAACGAGATGATTTTTTCAGAAAGATTCAAAATTTACATTATTTTCTCCTGTGCGAGCCTCATTTCTACGTCACATAACTTTTACCGCTACACTCCCTTAAATGTCTGAAGGAACCAGGAACCCATTTAAAAAACTTTGGATCCCGTTGAAACCTGCTGGCAACCCTGTGTGGAGAATGACTACGAATAAAACTAGTTTTTTTAGCTTTTAAGTTACAGTACAAAAAGTACACTATAGTAATATGTACTGTACAAAAACTTCTAAAGGGACTGTTGCCTTAATTCAAAGTGAATATTTATATCAAGAGTTACATTTCCAAATAACACCGATTCTCAACCTGTATTTATGAAGATTTCTGGATTATTTATCCAAAATATAAATTACTAAATGTGGTTTCATTACAAATCCAGCAAGACATGTTTTCCTTATTGTATATACAGGGTTACCCACAAAGAATGAGACTTCAGAGACGATGATTTTACAGAATTTATACTGTCTGTTTCCTTCTATTGACTCTATCCCGGCAACTGTAAGCTTATTTGTTTCTTTGCCAAATAATTCAATAAACCATTAGATTACTACTATCCTAGGCATAATACTTAAATTATAGTCTTTATAATCTCATTCTCTGTGGATTCTTCATAGCTAAAACTATTATTTCCACAGCTGTGTACTGTTAGGACTGAGCACCAAAGAGAATAGAACATATATTAGAGTGGATTTTAGTAAATCCCTCTGTTTGAATTTTTTCAGTCCCTTTCAGCCTGAAAGGGAGTTCAAAGTGTACAAATCATGTAAATGTTTACAAATTATATGCAGTAGAGTACATTAGTACAGTATGTTCCCCAGACTATCCATTTCAATTTCGAATTTAAAGCTGTTAAATAAACTTTATAAAATGAATAAGGTGAATAAAAAACATCATTTGATTTATAGTTATTACGGAAAATCATCGTTTGTGAAGTGAAAGGCATAGAGTCTATGTGAAATGATCTTTGGTCAATATGAAACGAGCCTATTTTATGATTTGGTTTTCTTTTAATGTTAATTTTAAATTTTCTATAAAATAATATTCCAGGGCCCATAAGGTTATATAGCACAAATATGTGAAGTACACCTGCAGTATGGAAACAGTGCAACTAAATGGCCGTTTTACACTTTTTTCTAGTAAATTCCACTCTAATATATATTCTATTCTCTTTGCTGAGCACCTATATAGTTTGTCTGTTTGTGTGTTTGTATGTCCGATCATAACTCATAAACCACTTGACCTATTTGCCTAAAATTTTAATTATGGATCACGAGAGAACCACGGGATTGTTCTAAGTGTAGTTCTTGGATTCTAAATTGAGCGAGTCCCACTTTTTTAGTGGAAAATCGTAATTTACGACAAAGCGCGACTCGCGAGTAAACGGTGGGAGTAACTATGAGTACCCTGGGCAACGCTGGGTTCTAGCTCAAGCTAGCATCTTTGTATAGATCTGAAAATGACGTGAATGAACTATATTTTATGTCTATATAAAAAAATGGCTCTGAGTGGAAATAGGGTCGACATCTTATACAAATTGTTCACTGCCCTGGTCCCTGAACCGACCCATAGCTTGTACCATTTTATTTGAGGCAAAGAAACTGCAGATTAATCACCTTTATTTTCTAATCCCGATATCTTTACAACATGTCAGCGTACACCTTTCACATTTCAAATTTAGACTATTTAAACAGGGAAAATGCATAGTTTAAAATACCTAAGGTCTACACTCTACGACATCAGGTTGTAAAGTTATAAGGATTAGTAAAAGAAAGTTCAAGGAAAGTAATCAGTGTCAGCTCTGTATTCATTTGTTCTCTATTTCTTGAATGCAATCTTTTATGTAATATAATGCATTACATATAAAGTACATTTTAATAAAACATGTGTGATGTGACTTATCTTATGCGAAATGAGTGTTTTATTTTGCAGTCAACGGGGTTAGCTGTAAAAACTATTTCACAAAAATGTCACAAAAAGTTCGTGTGTTTTAACAGGTGTTGGTTATACTAAAATCGGTCATTTTGTGAGCGTGATTTAACCCTATATCAGCTGACGTCTCCTTTGCTTAAAATACCCTGATTGTAATACTAGACTTCAACATTTTATATACATTTTTGGAAAGCCGTTGAGCTCTAATTCAGTAATTTGCCAAAAAATATGCAAGTTTGCTAAAATCTAAATGTGTGTGGTGAAATCTTGAAATCTAGTTGTTTACTAAAAATTAGCCAAAACTAAAATTACACGACATTTTTTACACTATTTTTAAATCATTACACAAAGCATAGTATATAAAACTTTTACCAACTATCATTTAATATCAATGGAAAGAAATAAACTGATTGTCACACTTTTTAATTGCAGGCGTATTTAAACGTAAAAGTAATCTGAGATTGGGTCTGTAGGCATTTCAGGGGACGGTTTATTAAGCGAGCGGTGTATGATTTACTACGGTACCCTGGACAGACTGAAGAATGGACTTGGTTTCATAGAATACTCATCACTGGCTAAGCTTTAACGCTTTTCTACGCTCAGTTTAAGATAATGTTATATATACGTACTGTTAACTTTGTCCCATGGATGGATTTTAGACAGAGAAACTAGATCGGATCTAGAGTGAAGGGAAGTTCTAACACGACAAAAAATCTTAAAATCATTAAAAAAGAAGGATTTTTTTGCTAAATAGATATTTAATTGTCACCTGTATGGGGCGAGTATTTGTTTTTTGAAATTTCAGAGGGGGCTCAGCTCCCGTTATATCGATGTCTCTCTTCTTCTGATAATAGTTTTCACTCCGGGAGGGGGGGGGGGGTAGCCCCATTTTACTACCCTCCTGAATACACCCCTGGATATTCTAAAAGTGATGTTATCCCTGATAAGGCAGTTTCTACTATATGAATGGTACGATAATCGTGCCATAATGAAATGAACATTGTACAATACCTATATGTAAACCCGGTAAAATATGAAGAGATATGAATGTATGTAAACTGATTTCATTTCGATCTGATGTTTCTGTAAAGAATGAAAAGTCCTCCGTATAAACAATTAAAACCATATGAATGTATGGAAACTGATTTTATTTCGTTCTGATGTTTCTGTAAAGAATAGGTTTAGGGCTATTTGAAAAAACTATAAATGTGCAAAATCATTTTAAAAAGGGTAATTTGCAAACAAACTGTGCCAAATTTCTTCTCAAATCTGGTTCCTTCTCTCATTAGTTTCCCAAAACGCTCCACTTGTTAAAGTTCCTCCAAGAAGTGGATTCACATTTTATTGCTAAACAAAAACGTTCAGAGTTCTTTGATAAACCTTTTCCTTGGTATTTCCTGTCACCTCTGATACTAGGTTAATATACACTAGGAGTACTTGGTGTTACCCGTGCCCATCAGCCTGTTAGGTGCGGTTGCTCGTGCCCATCAGCCTGTTAGGTGCGGTTGCTCGTGCCCATCAGCCTGTTAGGTGAGGTTACCTGTGCCCATCAGCCTGTTAGGTGCGGTCGCTCGTGCCCATCCGCCTGTTAGGTGAGGTTACTCGTGCCCATCAGCCTGTAAGGTGCGGTTGATCGTGCCCATCAGCCTGTTAGGTGCGGTTACCCGTGCCCACTACCCATAAGCCTCCCAGGTGAGGTTGCCCGTGTCCATCCGTTTACAGTTCCTTCAGTCGACTGAAGACGACCTCCTCTCCTGCGGTTTAAGTACTTAACCTATGTTACAAAGGGGAAAATGTGCATATTTAAGTGTCAGTCTCCAGGCATTAATAAAAAGCATACATACACTCACACATACATTTATATTTGCTCCCTCTGCTTTTTTATAAAATATGTATCATCATGGAACTTCTATAATATGTATCATCATGAAACTTCTGTAATATTAATCATCATGGAACTTCTATAATATTAATCATCATGGAACTTCTATAATATATATCATCATGGAACTTCTATAATATATATCATCATGGAACTTCTATAATATATATCATCATGGAACTTCTATAATATATATCATCATGAAACTTCTATAATATTAATCATCATGGAACTTCTATATTATTAATCATCATGGAACTTCTATAATATATATCACCATGGAACTTCTATAATATATATCACCATGGAACTTCAATAATATATATCATCATGAAACTTCTATAATATAAATCCATGCTCACTTCACCCCTTATATCCATAAACTGAGTAAATCCACATTCCACCCTCTCTCTAGACACTCTTATCTGTTTACACCTTAAACTTGTTCCTGGCAACCTTGGCGTATATGACAGTATAGAGTTACCACTAGTAGTGCTTCTACTATAAGGTTAGTTTGTAAATAAGAGAAATATAACTGAACTCGTACAACTAAATAAACGGATAAGTGTACTCCAAATTTAATCTATAGGTTGGGTGGGGGGAGGGTAGGGGGTGCAATTTTGTAATAATATAATATTTATCTTTATGGTCGTTCATTACTCATGTACCCCTGGACCGATTTTCCTCACTTTTGATTGAAAAGCTCGGCAGAACCACGGGAACTTTCTTAGCATAGGTTTAAAAGTTCTTAGCTTAATAGGTTGACTCTCATAACTCATAAGTATAACTTTGTTTCAAGGCAAAGTTGGGTTCCCAAGCCAATATATTATACAGTATCACTACCCGGGGATCTCAGCTTTGCCAGGAAACAAAACTTTCTCAATAAAAAATCAACTTATTTTCCCGAATAAAAGTGTGCACCCGCAAAACAAGCTTAGAACATTCCTGTGGTTGTACCGAGCTCCATAATCAAAGATTGAGGCAAATCGGTCGCAGGGTTTTTTGCGGTATTATCGTCTGAGTCCCACTTGTATATTTTCCTAATTAAATACTTCTTTTAGATGTTGGTTTTGTAAAAAGAGTCATATAATGGAATATGACAGATTTTAGCAGCAAACACAGATTTTCTAAAATCCTTGTGAATTTTCCGGTAAGATAAAAATGGATTAAACTCATTTTCTCCAGAGATAAGAGAGTTACAGAGATCGATTATCTGTTTTCAGGGATATTTAAGGATCCTTTGGATACGAAACACAAAATCTTCAAAAAAAAGACTGAATTTATAAATGGCATGTTTCATGTTTAAAATTGGAGCATTTCTTTAAAATTTGTAAAACTTAACCCTTGAATGGGTATTATATTCAACGAGTGGCCGTGAGATGGGACTGCATGTCGTGCCGGGTCAACCTTGGCGTACATAGCCCACCCTGTGAAAGGAGATAAGCAGTCTGTGTAGTCTGTGCAGAGAAAAGAGAGTTAAAGAGATCGATTAACACCTATAATATGCGATATTTTCCACAGCATGTTCTGTTGTGTACAAGTTCTGTACACGACCAATCAGGAGACATCTGTATTCAGGGATATTTATGGATCCTTTGATTAGGAAATTCAAAATCTTAAAAAATAGACAATATTCATAAACGTTATGTTTTATGTTTAAAATTGGAGTATTTCTTTAAAAGTTTTAAAACTTAACCCCTGAATGCAACAAGTGGCCATTAGATGTCAGTCAAAAAAACATTACATGGAACCGTAGCATGGCGTGGCGAGACACTATAGGCCTGCTCAGCCTATCCAGGTAGAGTGTATGAGCAGTCTGTGTAGTCTGTGAGTCTGTGGTACGAATATTAAGATTTGAAAAGAGTATTTATTTTGAAAAACAAGCTGCACAATATATAAGATCTTTTACTTTGACGAAACTTAATCAAAGTTCTAGTAAAATATTACAAGGTTAAGCTTGAAACTTCTATGTTTGTTAACTTTCATAATGTTTCAGAAGTGTTGCTGAGTATTTGTTGCTAGGAGAAGAAGAAACTGGAGTATTCTTGAACCACATAATGTGTGTACTGGACCGTACTGTACTGCAAATATTTGCAAACAACCTGAGCCCAAAATTTAAAAGAGTATCGAGTTTCCTGTTTGGGGTCTTAACATTTGTGTAGATTTTGATTTAAGCGATTCAAAAATAATAGAGNATAAAGGGTATAAAGGGTTATCCACAAAGGATGAGACTTCAGAGACTACTGTACGAATGTTGACCGTCAGTATTCTTTCACTTATGATTCCCTGCAACTGTTAACTGGTTTCTTTCTTCGCTGAATAATTAAATAAGCAAATTAAAGATAATAACCAAAGGAAAAGACATTAATTAACCTTGAAATAGTCACATCTAAAGATTTACATGTCATTTTTACAGTGTCCCTGTACCATAGTGATCCAAAGGTTGCAAATCAATGAGAATATTGCCAATTACTTGCAAAATACTAAAGTTAAAATCTTAAGGGCTTTACAGATCTCAAATATACATGATCATCATAGGTTACTAAAAAAGTATATGTTAGTTAGTGAGGTATAATCGAAGGCCAAGACATTGCGACACTTAAAAGTTGGCCCAGTCTAGAATTTTTTTTGGTCGTCTAGATCTATGTGATTCTACCACAAAATATTGTGGTTGAAAATTTCTGAACTTTGAGCTGATGATTTGAAGTTTATCATTAAACCTCCTCTAGTTGTTTCCGAAGAAGAACCATGGGCAAGTGGTAATACATGCAAAGATGACAATGCCCGATTCACAACGGTACCCTTAAAAGCGTTGTCTGGTCAAACTCAAGTATGAATCAAATATCAATGTTAATAATTTAAAAAATTAATTATGTTCTACAGAGGGGACTTGTGCGTCTAAAATCCGCCAAAAGCCGGTTTCAATTGAGCGCCGGCTTAAATCTTGAAACAATGAATATGATTTAAAGTGGAACCAACCATATTTTAAGCCGCGGCTTAAATTTAAGCCGCGGCTCAAATTCTTAAAATTTGGCCTCTGAATATTTCTATTTAAAAAAGACTTTGCTTCATAAATACAAATATATAAATACTTCTTTTCCACTTTATCTAACCTTTCAACGATCAAGAAATATCTTTACGCGTATAAATAATACTTTTTAATTGCCATCTAAAATGTTTACAGGCACATTGCACAATTCACATATATTATTTGAAATCAAAAAACATGAAGAACAGGTACAGTTTTGAAAAATAAGTATCTAAATAATTCTAAATATTGCCTAAAAAACCCTAAAGTTATCAAAACTTGGTTAGAGAAAGGTATCATGTATAACACAACATAAATATCTTGTAATTCATCACACCTTCACAACTTTACAACTTCACAACCAACTTTATTTTGGCAATATTTTAGTAAAATAAAAGAAGACATGAAAAATGAATATTTGTACAACAACAACTAAAATGTAAATTTTAAAAATGGTATCATATTTTTTGGCGACTTTTAAGCATAGAAGAAAAATCAGGGTTTGAAATTTTTCAAAACTTAGTAAAAGGGTGTCATAAACAAGTTCTTTGTACTTGCATGTCAAGATAAAACTGAAGCTTGCATATATGCTGATTCTATTAATTGGTATAAATCGGGAGAGGGGAGGTGATATGTCCCCCTCTTTCTTCCCCAGCCTCCACAAGCCAACACGTGACGTCAGAGGCTCGAGGCCAGTGGTCTCCTCGCAACTAAGCCAGTAACATCGGGAGGTCAGGAGTGCAGTATACAACCAGGCCTCCGGCTTTAGGCATCCAGGGAATAAGAAATGTAAAAAAGAACCTGATTAATCTTTCTTCTACTGGTTAGTCACAAGAGTGTATAAGCAGTCAGTACACACAGTAGTTTCTAGATATGCTCATCTTGGCGCCTCCTCACCCTGTCAATACAAATCTAGACTTTAGACTCATCCATACAGACAGGATGACTTCTGCTGGATAACTGACCAACATCTACATGATGTCAGTAATAAAAAACCTGTTAGAACTAACAGATAAATCCTCTATTCCAGGATTCAAGTGATTAATGTAGTAAAAAGTAATTATTAAATTAATAACAATAGTTTCCTCCCTTGGGAGTTTAAAGAAAACAAAAATGAACAGCCGAAGGTTCTCGGTGAAGAAGATGGCGTTGAAGTCCACCTTCGGGTTCACCACAGTCAACCACAACTATACGGAGGCAGAACGACAGATCTTGAACAGCTATCACTCCCTGGAGTATCTACCACCACACTCTAAGGTGTACAGGAACTGGCTGCAGCAACAGCCCGCCAGGCTAGACTGGGATAGATGGCTAATGATGGCAATAATAGGATTCTCCGTAGGAATCCTTGGGTTTCTTCTTCATCAGATCATTGATATCATTGCTGAAGGCAAGTGGCATCTGACTCAGCACTACATTTCCAATGGGGACTTCTCTGGTGCCTACTCTCATACTGTTGGTTATTCATTAATATTTCTAGTAAGCAGTTGTCTCCTGGTGCTCTACCAACCAGCTGCAGCTGGGTCAGGCATACCGGAGATTATTGGTTTCCTCAACGGAACTAGAATTAAAGACATATTCAAGATGCAAACACTCATTGTTAAGTTTTTATCATGTGCTTTCGCAGTAGGTTGTGGAATGCCGGTTGGATATGAAGGTCCTATGATACATTTAGGAAGCTTGGTGGCCGCCGGAGTGTCACAGTTCAAATCCGCTACATTTGAGTGTACATTGCCATTCTTCTCAAGATTTAGAAACTCAGAGGATAGAAGAAATTTTATATCAGCGGGGGCTGCTGCTGGAATAGCATCAGCTTTTGGTGCACCAGTCGGAGGTCTTCTCTTCGCAATGGAAGAAGTTTCTTCTTTCTGGAAGAACAAACTTTCTTTCCAGGTTTTCTTCTGTTGTATGATTGCAACGTTTACAACGGATATTCTCAACTCTTCCTTCCACGGGTTCAAGTACAAAGGAGATTTTGGTCTGTTCAAACCCAAGTTTATCTCCAGAGACCTCATGGCGGTTAATGTTATTGCAGTATTTCCTGCAATACTTCTAGGTAAGCCGGATCAGATTTATCTATCTTTAAATGGATTACTTTTGCAAAGGAAATTTACATTTGACTACCTTGGAAACCCATCTTTGCCTGGAAACTAAACTTTCTCAATAAAATTTAACCCACTTAATTTAAAATCTTTACTCAGATCATTTATGTGCTTCTACCAAGTTTCTTAATCTGATATTTGAGGCAAATCGACCAAGGGGTTTCTGAGTTATGATCGGACATACAAACGAACTTTCTACTTACCTCAAGATCAAACGGAAATAAAGCACAAGAATAATACCTGGAAAAATCTAGATCTTCCTAAAATTTTGTTCATCTTACCTTGACATTTTTTTAGCTTTTTCAATACCGGTGTTCTGAGAAAACTTCTAAATAGGAAATTATGAAAGAAAATGTTAAAATGCAAACATATAAGAAAATTCAGGAAGCAGTTTCTTTGTTCTAAATGTGTCTAAAATCTTGTTAATCGACAGGATTATACATTCAATAGACAATTTATCTGACCGAAGATGAAGTTTAACCATGAGAACGTTGTTTAGGCTATCATAAAAGTTTGATTCTGGGATGGGTAACCTTGTCTGTGTAATAATAAAAGTGAAAGTTTTCTGTAAAAATATTTTGTCTTTTCATTCCTGACAGAAACCAAAGAAATATTTTATTCATTTTAAGATCATTGATGTACTAGAAGTAAAAGAAAAAGATTTACATCTGCTTTCATAGTGTGCATTGAAATTACATATTATAAATAATAAATACATGTCTTTTTTAAGTTTTGGTCATTTTCGAATGCCCTAAGTGTGAAAATGACCCTAATTTTTTGTATGACCTTACAGGAAAGGTTTAGTTAAGAATTGAGTTACAAAAATTTGAAATCTTCCAGTAAAACAAAACGGGCGAGATTTGTCCATTGTTACGGTGTTGGGATAGCGATGCATCCAGGAAGAAAATGTTAATTTAAAAACTTTTCTATCGTATTTTATTTAAAATACATTTTTAAAACATAAAAAGTTATATTTGGACTTTCATTAAGCCCTAACTCATTGGACAGAATTTAGTTCAAATTTTTAAGAAAATTCAATTTTTTTTAAAGCTGATTTTTTAGTATATTTCAGTATTTTCAAAATCGTGATCCAAAGAAGCATGAAAATTTTTTAAATAAAAATTCAGACAAAGAATTTAATTTTTAAAAAAAAGTGGTGAAATGAAACCCATTTTTAATATTAGTAAACNTACGATAGAATAGAATAGAAGAGAATAGAATAGAATAGAGTAGAAAAGAATGCGCTCTAACGGAAAATTTTAAATTTAGCTTTTAGTTTCAAAGAGCGGTACAAGGCCTTCCGAATTTAGAGATGGAAACATTGTACAAATACATTTTGTCAGATCTATTTATATTTAAATATATGTTGAAACTGTTGTGTTTGTGACAATTTAATTTAGAAATGTAATACCGGAATTTATTTCTAAAACATAACATGGCAAAACATAATTCTAGATTTTTTTATTTTTGATAATCAACATGGGATTTTATAAAAAAATTAGCTGTTCTGAAAATGTTGACTTCCAGTGCAATTAGCGCTTGACTTTCTAGTAATGATGAAAACTTTGTATTGTAATTGCTAGAATTCTTTTCTTTTCTCTTCAAGGATTTTTAGCATTAATATATTTTTGCAGATTTCTCTTAATTTAATTTAAATAACTACGAAAACCATCACTTTTGACCGGATGTTTTTATATTTTCCTTCTAACCAACCAAAATCCCCTCTAGGGATTTACAATGAAACAAAACAAATACATACAGATAAACATACACGATGGAGGAGGGGATTCTCCTTTGAAAAACATTAAATTTCGCAAAGAAACTGAGTTTTGCCACAACCTTAAATTGGCTAACCCAATATCTTTGCAACCTGATGGTTGAAATCTTTGATATTTAAAACTTTTAGACTATTTGAACGAACAGAATTTATATTTTGAAATATAATATGTCCACGACATAGGATTGAAAATGCATAGAGATAAGAAAATTAGAAAACTCAATTCCTCTTATGAATAATACATTTTAAAGCGATAGATGCTTACATTATGTTAAACATTGAAATTACACTTAAAAGTATTGATATTTAAGGGTTTTTGCTCCAAAAAAAGTTTCACAAGTAAAATATATAATTAGTAAACTATTTGATTTATTTCACCTGCAGTAAACAATAAACTTGTCATGACATCTTTATAAAATATATTTTTTTTATGAAATAGAAATATGTACGCTAGGCTTTTGAGCTAGTATAGAGACCTAACTACTGAGCTATCTACTGAGCTAGCTACTGAGCTAGCTACTGAGATAGCTACTGAGATAGCTACTGAGATAGCTACTGAGATAGCTACTGAGCTAGCTACTGAGCTAGCTACTGAGCTAGCTACTGAGCTTGATTCTGAGCTAGCTACTGAGAGCTAGCAACTAAGCTAGCTACTGAGCTAGGATTGTGAGCTAAGGATAGAGGTGTGAGCTGGAATGGTTTGAAGTAGGATATCTGCTCTAGGTCCAGGATTATATTGGAACACTTCTCAACCTTTTCTAGAACTAAATCTAATTCTAACTTTATTCTATTGGAAACCAGAGCGAGGCGGACAACAAGAATTAAATAAATAAAAAAGAAGGAAAAGATTTCTTAGAAAAAAGAGAAATACCCGGTTAAACAAATAACAAATATTAAAAAACAAAGAACCTTAAAGAAGAAAAAAAAAATGGATAATTTAAAAAGGAAATTAAAGAAATATAATATTTCCAAAAAAGCAGTACTGAAAGAAAAAATTAAAAACAATTATTGATAAATTAGGAAACTTATAAAAGATAAAAAAAGGCTCAGATGAAGATATGTGAGCAACATCTTTTTGCGCCTTTCTACAAAAAGTAGAAAGGCAAAAATTTTTTGGAAAAATGCAAGAAGTGAAAATATTGGGAAAATTTGCGTCAGATTTTTAAAGAAGTACTTATCCCACAGAAAATTTGTTTTAAGCTTGGTTTAGAAATTCTTTGTTGAGTGGGTTGATTTTTAAAGAGAAAATTTTATTTCCAAAAAAGCTAGTCAAAATATTAGATTTTAAAAATATTTGTCTAAAATAGTTCTTTCATCTTTTGCAAACTCATTCGTACATAATTAATGGGGTTTATAACAAAAATTGTTATGTAATATATTCTTTCCAGTACAAAACAGAATTCCTTAATTCTTAGTACTCTCTCCATTACATTAACAGAGCTTCCTAATTCTTGCTACTCTCTTCCGAAAATAAACAGAGCTCCTTAATTATGTACACTCTGCAGTGCATAAACAGAGCTCCTTAATTATGTACACTCTGCAGTACATGAACAGAGCTCCGCAATTTTGTACACTCTCTTCGGTACAAAAACAGAGCTCCTAAATTCTGTAAAATTTCTTTTGTACATAAACAGAGTTCTGTTATTCTGTATACTTTTTATATACATAAACAGAACTCCGTAATTCTGTTTACTCTCTTTTGCACATAAACAGATCTCTGTTATTTTGTACTAAAAAAGAGCTCCGTAATTCTGTATACTCTGTTCCGTACACAAACAGAGCTCTGTAATTTTGTATACTCTCTTCTCTAAATAAAAAGAACTACGTAAATCTGTATACTTTTCTGTACATAAGCATAACTCAGCAATTCTGTAGACTCTCTTCTGTACATAAACAGAGCCTCGTAATTCTTTATCCTTTTTTTCTGTACATAAATAGAGCTCCATCTTGTATAGAGTTAGTGGGACAGAGTAGTATGGTAATTAGTATCTAATACTGAAGTGTAATGAGCTAATTTATTACCATACAAACACAGTTATATAAGTCTATACCCAATATTTAGACAAAAAATACACAATGAAAATACCGAAGGAGAAACTCAAATTATTGCGATATTACTTGTACGACTTTGTGACCTCGTAGCTTCTCTAGTTTTGATTTTACGCAAAATTATGGCAAAGCAAACCTATCCGATTAGAGAATATAAAGGAATTGAGTCTTTGCCACAAACTCTGATTTTCTAATTCCTATATTGTTTAAATCCAAAGTCTTAGACCTTAGCTATTTTAAACTATTAATTCTGTTATATCAATACAATTAAGCTTGAAATATCAAAGGTTTACACCATCAGGTTACAGAAATATAGAAATTAGAACATTCGTGTTTGTGGCAAAATTCAATTCCTTTAGAAAATTTTTATTCTTCTCCATAGTTCCTCAATAATAGGAGTTATATTACGTGCAATTTACTTTATTTTCACGTGAATGAAATATGAGAAAATAAAACAACTTAAACAAAACATGAAAACAACAAGTGAACTCTAATCAACAAACTTAACAAACATGTGTCAACACCATTCATGAAATATATTGCGTTTTTTAGAGCAAAATTGGAATCTTTTAAAACATGGATTACAATATTATATTTTTTAAGAAAATAATGTTAGAATGTTTTAGACTATTCTTACAAGAATTGTTATTATTATTATTTAATAATAATGTTTCTAGGTATATTGGGAGGATTACTGGGATCTGGGTTTACACATTTAAACCTTGTGTTTGCTAGATCCAGGAAAAAGTTTATGTCAGGAATTAAGGTAATATTTATTTTTCATCTATAAAATATTCCTTTAAGAAGCTATCTATATAAAATATAAAAATTTGAAAGTAAACCAAAAAACTGCTAATCGCAGAACACTTGTTCTTTTACCTACCAAAAAACTTACCTCTGTTTTCAAAGTCATTGGTTAAATTATAGTTAAGGAAAGGAGGATATGATGTCATAAAAATATGTTATTCTCAACAATATCTTAGCATTCTCGAAATCCTTTAATTGGAACTATAATTATAATTAACATTTTGTTAAGGATTAATTAAAGTTTATTTTATTATATTCAAGGGTAAGAACACAGCTCGTCTCATTAGACTTAGGCAGACAAGCCAAATTTATATCTAGATGTAATATATGTATGTACATTAAATGTGTGTGAATAAATCTTTTATAATAAAAAAATTAACATACATAGTTCACCGTTCATAGTTAAAGTTCATAATTGTACTTTAAATTCAATCAGATAGATGGATACATTTAACTGTTTTATCTTTGATAGGTCAAATCTCGAACAGAACGGTTGAATTTTTATAAACATTTCTTCTCAAGAATATTTTTTATTGCATTAAATTTAATTTATTTAAATTCTTGTTTTTTTTCTATTATAATAATTCAAAATATTAAAAAATAAAGAGTAAACAGTTTAATGATACTCCAATTAGTACACAATTTTTAATCTATTTAATGAAATAAATTGGAGGATTTTTAAACATCAATTTGTGGATGAATTTTAAACATTATTACATATTTTTTTTATGTTTTACCACTCCCATCGTTTCATATCAGAATTAATTCAAAACGTTATCTATATTACCTCAAAACAATATTTTTAATTTTCTTTTGAAATACGGAAAGGTATGCCCAACGATGTTTTATTTCTTTTTAATGTTTTTTTTTATCAAAATTAAGGTTTCTTTGTCATTGGTTTCTTTTTGGTGTTAAAAAGCATATCGAAAACAAACAAAAAATACAGAATATAGGATAAATTGCGCATTTATAATATTTTTTACGATAACATAACTTGGTTAAATGTATACAATTAATTCATTGACAGCTATTAATAAACAACACATATTGGTAAATAAAATTTTTCAAAGATAAATTATGGGATTTATTAGCGTTTTAATCAAAGGGTGGCATGTGCTCAATTGTAATAAATGTGCAAGTAACTATAATAACCTGAGCTGAGTACTTTTGAATGAGATATCCTAATTCCTGATCGCTTAATCTGAGTATCCAATTTACTTTTGATTTTCTTCTTAATCCTCTTTTTTGGATATCCCTACTGTATAACAGTTACGTTTGATAACTATTACAGATACGATGCTATATCGATTGGACTAATATCCGATTGAACTAAAGTCGGCTGTTCAAAATTCGGCTTAAATTTAATCATGTTAATATGAACTTATTAAAAAATTCACATTTGAGGGCTATAAGCCATTTTAAATGTTAGTCTTATATAATCATTAATCTAAAGTCTAAATTAGTCTGAAGATTAGCAAAAAGAGAGGATCAAGAATTGATCTTGATATCCACAATTCCAAAGTTTTCAGCTCTGTGCGCATATATGATTAAATACTTTAATCAACAACTGCAGTAAAACTATGCAATCTAGATGAATATTGACAAAATCAATATTTTATAAAAAGATCTTAGCTTTTAAATTAAAACTCGGGAAATTTCAAAGAGAAATCATACAATATAATATTCACACTTACCAGTCATAAGGAAACAAAATATGAAAAAACATATGTTATAAAAGTTTTAGAAATTTATATTTTGTGCAATATTGCTTTTTTTCATGATAACTCGTTTGTTGTCCAATCTGGTTCTGTAGGTCAATGAAATGTAACGTGAACCTTGGTGTTATTCTAATTACACACATAAAAAATATTATAAAGGCGCGCTTTACACTATCTTTCATTTAAAAATCAAAGTTTACTGAAATTAATTAAAAGATTTTCGAAAATTAAATTGGTTGATCTCATAACTTCATTTTACGCTAGTTTTACTTGATGTAAATGTAAAATTGTCAAGCCCTAAACGTACTGATTTTACGCTAATGATAACTTTAATTTTATTTTATAATAAATTTTTGAATATAAAGCTCTAGCATATCAATTTTTTCTTTACAATGTAGGTAGCACCCCTGTATCCTGTGTTTACTCCGAGACAGGAGATCCGGACAGCCACGACAGGAACGTGTGCACCGCCACCAACTCCTCCGACTCCAACACCGAGGTCAACATTCAGTTCTACACGTACAACATGACGGAGTATAGGGTACAGGACAATAATGGTACGGTACGGGTGTACAGAAACGGATCGTACAGTGAGCTGGCAACCCTGTTCTACGGTACAGGGGAGCAGGCCGTGTACCACCTGTACTCTAAGAATACTCATAAACAGTTTGGGTACACGAGTATGGCTGCCATGTTGGTTATTTATTTTGTGATGAGTTGCTGGTCTGCGGGTACATACCTATCCTGTGGTATAGTTGTACCAATGCTTCTTATAGGAAACACATTCAACATATTCAAATTTATAGCTAAACTCTTTATTGCATGTTTTCAAAATAATTTTTAAATCAATATAAGATTCTAAAATGATAATTGAAAGAATCAATGACTAAAAAGAAATATTAATCTAACAAGCTACTCAATCAAAAGATTTAAAAAATAAATACACTACTTTTTTATTAGAATTTTCTTGATTTTCCGATAAATTAGACTTTTAAAGAAACAAATATAATGTGTGGTAAGGTGGTCTATACGGAAGAATGACTGGTCGTCTTCTTGTTGATCAATTTGGAATTCAAACTCACAAATACTGGGCTTGGATGGATCCAGGTAACGTGTACACTGTACACTGTACACTGTATATGAATGGCGGATTTTTGTAAAAGTGACTTTAGACGTTTTAATTAAGCTTCTGTTACCACATGTGACAAGTTTTTCCCGATATTTAAAGATAATTTTAGTGTCCTAAAAAATCAAATCGGTTCAGAATTGAAGCGTTGGCATCAACTACTGTATTTTTATAAAGACACCTTGTATGTGTACGTATTACATATGTTAATGTATATGTATGTATTACATATATTAATGTATGTATACGTATTACATATCTTAATCTATGTAAACCAGGTTTTAAATAATATTAAGCGGTTATTTTAACGCATCTTCTTTTGTTTTCAAGACTCTTTGATATCAATATTTTTATAATCGTTTCTTTAGATCTATTTTGGAAAACAGAAAAGAGATTTATAACTAGCTGAGAGAAATGATAAAACATGAAGGAAAAATAATATTATTTGATAAAAATATTTTTCTTTTCCAAGAAGAGAAATAAATCATTGTGCATTGTAACATTTATGTTTTGTATATCACGCATTAGCTCTATACCTTATTGTGCTATTCAATAAAGCTGTTTTATTTCATGCATAAGCCAGTTTTCTAATAATAGATAATAAAAACTAGAATATAAAAAAGAAATTGTTGTTCTTTTATAAACAATAGCTTGGGATCCCAGCTTTTCCAGAGCCCGCGATTTAAAAATTCGGGAAAATATGGCTCGGGCCTAAGCTTTCGTTGGCCCTTATTTACGGCTTGAGCTTTCGGATTCAAGCTGCATCTTATTTTCAACAGAATTGAGTTCAAAAAACCGGTTTAATATTCTATTTGGCGGATTTTCATGGTTAGAATTCGGGTATTCCGGGTTTTGATGAGAACAAGACTCAATATTGAGCCTTATTCTCCACTAAAACCAACCAAGGTTGGTTTTATTTTCATAAATCACTACTTACTACTCACTTCTCACTTCTCACTACTCACTACTCACAACTCACAGTCACTTCTCACTACTCGATCGCTTTTTCCAAGCTATATCTTATCTAATTATGAAATGAACCTGAATGCGACAAAATGCTCAGTTTAGTATCTTATTGTATCCTAATGTGTAATAAGGACCAAAGAGGGATCGAATATAAGTCCCTGGAGGATTTCACGACATTTTTCAGTTTTATAAAATTCCAGAATAACAGAGAAATTTCAATTTTAAATTTTTCATTTCAGATGTGAAAATATTTGCAGATTTGATCAAATTTTGAAATATTTTTTCGATTATATCTTTAGTAAATACTCAACATGTGTTTAGGTGCGTTTGCGCTGCTCGGCTCAGTTTCATTCTTCGCCGGTGTGACTCGTCTCACCATCTCCCTCACAGTTATCATGGTCGAGATCACCAACGACATCCACCAGCTCCTCCTCATTATGATCAGCATCATGGTGGCGAAGTGGACCGGAGACCTTCTGACACACCCCCTATATCACGCCCTCCTAGAGGTGAAATGTATCCCGTTTCTAACTCCTGAACCTATTCTGATGAAGATGGACGGGAGTGTGCTCAACCTTGATCTATTTACTACGCAAGATGCTATGACGCATCCTGTTAAGACTGTGAATATATTTGCGTCAGTCCACAGTATAGCAAAACTTCTTTTAGGTAAATGTATAAAATAAAAAAATATTTATTTGATATTGATCTAAGGCTATAAAAGATTGATTTCAATCAAGTAATCCCAAAATTTAAGAATTGCATGCCTCATTCACAATAGTACCGTTACATCTTTATCTGAATAACACTTAATCTGAAAAAGTACCAGTCTCTGAATTTTCTTGTTATTTAATTAACCACAATTGTAAAATATCAATTTTTAAAATAATTGCAAGAATAAAGTTTCAGAGATACTGTGGTAAATTAAACATGTAACTTTCTCTTTAATTGTAAATTGTTGGCCCCTTGAAATAATATTGTGTACAGTCCCTTTAACAGTTCACTATATACTAATACAATATACTACATTCTATAGGAAACACCCACGGTGGTTTCCCTGTAGTCAAATCTCTGGGGGAGAACCTGGAGAATACGTTCTGTGGAGAAATCAGGCAATTAATCAATCAGTCTATAAATTTATCAATTAAATTATCAGACAATTGATCAATCAAATAACCATTAACGTATTCAATTGATTAATCAATCGATTTATTCTTCAATCAAGACATCAATAAAAAGCAATCAAATCATGAATCAGTTAATAAATCAATCATTTTATCAATCGATGATCAATTATTCATCTTTATCAGCCAGTAAATTATTAAATTCACAAGGCAATCAAATGATCAATTAATCAAGCCCGTAATCGTTCAATTTAGTAATAAATTTCACAATAAACTAATCGAAAAAATGATTAAATTTTTAGTCAATCAATTAAGCAATCAATTTATCCCTAGATTGTATGTATGTATTTTTCATGAAATTTCAAAGATTTTTCCATATTTAATTGCACCCCCATAATTTAAACTAAAACATTATATTAGTATTGGAAAACCCAAAATCCAAAAAGTATTTATATATCTTTATATTCATATTATGCGTATACTCCATTTTCTAAAAATATCCGAGGGAACTGGTAATTAATGAATGTTTTGTGTCTGAAACTAATTTCTCTAATAATGAGATCTGTTTAGTGTACTATATAAGTAAGATTAATAAGCACAATTGTGTATAAAAATCAACTAATTTATTATTTACTACCTAATTACTCATTAATTGGTAGAAAGTAGAAAGTAGTATAATTAAGTATCAATGAAAAATATAGAGATTGTAGATTTTATACATTCCGGAAGAGAATAAAGTTTTATTATTGTTTAAAGGGACAGTAAAGGAAAAATGAAAGGGGGTATAGGCTGAAAGCTAATCACTTTAGTTCTTGATCGCGCCCCATGAAAGTTTTATCTGATGTTCCTGTCTCGAGAAATTGATATAAAACTGTGTTATAATTATACAAAAATTCATATATGTAAAATTTTGAAAATCTGAAACTTAAATCACATGACCAGAACTATCACCAATGGCAGAGCAGTATGCTGGTCACGTGTCTCCGCCTGTATCACGTGACCACTTTACTGCACTGCCATTGGTGGAATTTCTGGTCAAGTAATACGGACGTAAAAATAATATTATGAATGAAATCTATTGAAAATAGAAACAACAAATATAAAAGTAAACCTAAATTACAATTAGCTTTCTCTGGGATATCATCTTTTTCAGATTGGTTGCTGTTTTTCTGAGCATGGTCTGTTTAACCCTACTATTTCTATACGAAATTGTATATATATGCATTTTCGTACAAGTTTGAAACAGCTTTGTATCAACTCTCGAAACCTCAGATAGGCGTCTCAATGGTCTAGATGAAAAGCTAAAGTGATTAGCTTTCAGCCTATACCCCCTTTCATTTTTCCTTTACTGTCCCTTTAAGATTATTTATTTATCTATATAACCAAGTTCTTCGCTTATATATTTCGATTTTTAAAAAAAAAAATCCACAGTATTTCGGCTAGTTATGGAATTATTATTATTATTATAATAAAATATTAATCTTTTAAAATTAAGATATCTCTATTTTATATGTGGCAGTGCTGAAAAGATATATAAAGAATTATAGAATCATTTTTAAATTGTATATCCAAAAAATTATTATTCCTTTAATTAATTTAAATCATTTAAATTTTGTATCATTAACAAGGTGAATACTTTAAATTCGATAAGAAGAACGAATTTATTAAAGTTTAATTTGTATAAATCTAGTTTGTTAACTTTACTAAAATAAGAAGCCATGTTTGTAAAAAACCTCACTGCGTTAATAATTAAATCTGATAAAGTGAAGTTTTTATTTGAAATCATATGTTTTAACTATTGATAGATTATACATAATTCGACCTGGAGACACCTTCATTAATAAATAATAAATCAAGGAAGTTGATCGACAAATAGATCAATTGGTTGACTAATTAATTAATTGATCAGTCGACTGGAGCTAAGAAACCTAATGACACGTCCTGAACTATTCATCATGAAATCAGATTTTAGTGCTACGGTTAGGATGCCTCATGTTTCAGATATTATGCATCCACATTTCAGGTCAGTTCTTGCCTAATGATAATGATGATAATGATGATAATGATGATAATAATGATAATGATGATAATGATGATAATGATGACAATGATGATAATGATGATAATTATGATAATGATGATAATGATGATAATGATGATAATTATGATAATGATGATAATGACGATAATGATGATAATGATGATAATGATAATGATGATAATGATGATAATGATAAATATTCTCCAGATTGTCTAAGAAGAGCCCCCACCTAGCAACAGATGAACTATTACAACAGTACATGAATGAACCACTCTACTGTGATTACTATGTCAACCTGTCACCGTACATCAATGATTCAGGTATTCACTGTTCACTGTTCATATTAAACCTCTAGACAAACAAGAGTTTGAAGGAACATAATTTCAAGTGAATCTTCTTCAAAGAAGTTACATTATCAATTCACAACGGTACCATTTAAGCTTTATCCTCATAAAAGTAAACTAAGAAGTCATCCTCGTATTTTTTGTAAATTCCTATCCTTGACTCTGCTGCATATATCCGTAGTAATTTTTATACAGAAACTACCATTGAAAATCATCTATTATCATATAAAGAAAAACTAGGATGCTTTCATCTATATATAAATTTGGCTTGTCTGTCTGTTTGGGTGTTTGATTGTTTGTTTGTATCCAATAAACGTCAAAACGGCTGAACCGATCGGGCCCAAATTTTTTGTGGGACATCATGTGACCACAGGGAAGGTTTATCAATTATAAAAATTAAAACAAATGTGTTTCAAAGGTTTTTAATTTTATAAAAAAAATTCAATTCTTGAAAATCCGCGAATTTTTTTTTAAAAATCCGCCAAAATTTCTTCTTCTTTGTTTTAAAATGTAAACAAAAAGAACATGTTTACAATTTAAATAGAAGATTGGGCGCGAAACGCCCTAAAAGCCTAGTTGTTTAAATTTTTCTAGACAAAAATGTACAAGGTACACTTCTGAATAAAGCATGTGTAATGATTCACCGACATAGGGTCATGCAAACGACTTAGAATCAAAAGACCCAGGGTTAAACGACAAAGGGTCAAACGACAAATTTTGCCCATTTGTCGCACTTTTTGACCCTATGTCGCTTTACCCATTGTCGCGTTTTTGACTGTTTGGCATTTAACACTTGGCCGTTTTACCCGAGGTCGTTTGATCCTATGTCGGTGATCATGTGAAGCTAAATAAAAGGTCACTTTAAATCACCTTGACTACCCTTTTGCTGACAAAAAATTAACCATTGAAACTAAATTTAATAATCTGAATTTGTGAGATTTGAAACATGTTCTTGACAAATTGTTGACAGTTATCTTGTCGGACAATAAATGTAATTCTACCTTGATCACATCTTTATCTGATTTTCCGCATAAGAACCTGTGTAAAAAAGGGAAATTAAATCTTTATTCACGTATTTTCACATCTTTACTTTATTAACAAACAAAAAAGTTTTATTTTCCATGTTTTCCTGAAAGTAATGGGCATTCGATATTTTGCCTGCAACCTGGTTGACAAGGATTAGAAAGCGCTAGATAAACTTTAAATTAGATTTGGAACCTGAATCCAAATCTGCAACTTTAGACCTGGCTGCAAGAAAAACTTTCAAATCTGCAGAACTTTCCAGAATAATGATTTTTACTCAGATTTTCTTGACATTGCGTTATGTACATTGTACATTGTACAGGGTGCTTTACACATTAACATTGTTAAGAAATCTTGAGTATAATATTCTAAATGAATAAAAGTTATGTATAAGGGAATGTGTACAGCAATATTTCTTCCTAAACTAACGCAATTTTCCTTACTTCATTAAGATCATGTAATAATTTTATGTACCGATCAATGAATTTTCTGTACATAAATGTGTACTGATCAATGAATGTTATGTACAGGGGTATGTATTGATCAATGAGTAGTATGTACAGGGGTATGTATTGATCAATGAGTAGTATGTACAGGGGTATGTACTGATCAATGAATATTATGTACAGGGGTATGTACAGATCAATGAATGTTATGTACAGGGGTATGTACTGATCAATGAATGTTATGTACAGGGGTATGTATTGATCAATGAATAGTATGTACTGGGGTATGTACTGATCAATGAGTAGTATTTACAGGGGTATGTACTGATCAATGAATATTATGTACAGGGGTATGTACTGATCAATGAATGTTATGTACAGGGGTATGTGTACAGCAACATTTCTCCCTACAAAGAGCCTACATACTCTTCAGAACTATGGGGCTCAGACAGATGACCGTTGTTAACCATACAAACCAGGTAAATTCATTCGCCATTTAAAGGGACTGTAAGCGTAATTGTGAATGGCTCTCCATGGAAATAAATTAATGCCCAATTTAGAACGATACCCTTTTAACCTTTAACTAATTATCATGGACAGAGATTTCTGTTTATGTCTCTAAAGTGGTGATCCAAATTCTCATAAATCTGGAGTGTACTCTATCCAAATTCTCATAAATCTGGAGTGTACTCTATCCACATTCCCATAAATCTGGAGTGCATTCTATTGACATTCCCATAAAGTCTGGAGTGTACTCTATTGACATTCTCATAAATCTGGAGTGTACTCTATCCAAATTCTCATAATTTTGGAGTGTACTCTATCCAAATTCCCATAAATCTGAAGTGTACTCTATCCACATTCCCATAAATCTGGAGTGTATTCTATCCAAATTCCCATAAACTTGGAGTGCACTCTATCCACATTCCCATAAATCTGGAGTCTACTCTATCCAAATTCCCATAAATCTGAAGTGAACTGTATCCACATTCCCATAAATCTGGAGTGTATTCTATTCAAATTCCCATAAATCTTGAGTGTAATCTATCCAAATTCCCAGAAATCGAGAGTGTACTCTATCGTTCATTTTATTTAACTCTAATTTAATTCAATCATTTGTTCTTAATTTTCTTTAACCATCCTTTTATTTAACCATTTATCTATTTTTATTTACCAATCCTTTAAATAAATCATCTGTTTTTAACTTCATTTCAATATCCTTAAAACTAATCGTTCTTCATTTAATTGTTTGTATATTTATCCTTAAATTATATCATCTGTTCTTAATTTTATTTAACTATTCTTTAATATAATCATCTGTTCTTCATTTTTTTTAATGATTCTTCAATTTAATTATCTGTTCTTAATTTTATTTAACTATCCTTTAATTCATTAATTTTTGTTATTTTAATTTAACTATCCCTTCATTTAATTCTTTATTTTATTTCGCTATCTTTTAATTTAATGATCTGTTCTTCATTTTATTTAATAATCTTTAAATTTGATTATCTACTTATCCTTTAATTGATGAATTTTATTCAAATATTTTATCATTTAATCCTTATTGTATTCAATTATGCTTAATTAAAGTATCCGTGTAATTGTTTTTTCTTTGTCCATTTATCTTTTAATAATTTATTCAGGGCTATTTTTACAATTGATCATTCATTCGATTTTGTATTTATTTATTCATCCTTCCTTCCATGACAGACGTTGACTATTTTACTTTAGAATCAGACTTTTTTCTGTATCTTGTCTTTTCTTAATTTGAACCCATTCAGCACTTTTCATTCATTCATACACTTTTCTCTTAAACGTAGATATATACAATATACATGTATATCTACATAGTTTGTATTCACTAATATTTATTTATTTTTAAATTTTTTATTTTATTTGTTGTATCTGAATTAAGAAACTTTTAACATTTTATAAATAGCGTTTGCCTTCAGGGCAATTATTTTTGTCGATGACAAATATTTTTTTATTCGGTAAATCATAGCATATTAGGGCAGAATAATAAATAAGAATTTATAATCATGTCACAAAAATTTTAGGTAGATAAATAAATGAAAAATAATAAATTAAAAAATACATAAACATATTTATAATACATTTATAGGTGTTTTATAAAGTCAAATGTTTTTCCTTGTCTCGTTTGTAAATGCTTTAATACTTTATACCATACATGATTTTAGTTGATATGTTTATTGATTTATGACACTCTTTATTGGTTGAAGTTTAAATTGATCAATAAATTGATTGATTAACTGTTTAGGTGGTAGGAACAATATCTCGAAAAGACTTGATGGGGTTCTCTATCGAAGAAAGATTGGAGAGATTGCTGATAAATCCACCTAGAAAACTCAGCAGGTTACTAACTTATAATATTAGATTAGTGAGTAGTGAGTAGTGAGTAGTGAGTAGTGAGTAGTGAGTAGTGAGTAGTGAGTAGTGAGTAGTGAGTAGTGAGTAGTGAGTAGTGAGTAGTATTAAGCAGTAATTAGTGAATCTTTTTTTTCAGTACATATATACTGTTTTTAAGTCTAGCGCCCAATGTGTTTTGAATGTACTTTATATAATATAAATATACATATGATATATTGTACATCTTTTTTACTGCCTTTAGATCAATGTATGCATCTATTGGTTTATTGGTTTCAGGTAGCATGCTTATCTTAGTCCAAAATTTAGGTTAAAAATAGAAATTCAATTATCTTTAGGCGCAGCTGGATTTGTGTTTTTTTTGGGTGGAGGGCCTTCGTCTTATTTTACTGGTTCGAGATTTTAACTGTTAACTGCAGGCGGGGGGGGGGGGGGGTTTGACTCCTCAACCCTTTTTAAGCCCTTATTTTTGACACTATCACCCAAGGGCGTACACAATAATAAATCTAGGGGGGGCCAAAAAAAAATATTTGGCCCCCCTTAGGAGCTCCTTGGGGGGGGGGGCAAAATTTTAACTGTAAATTCAAAATATTTGGATACTTTAAAGGTAACACACAGTCCAATTGCTTTTCAAATACTACTTTATCTCTCTTTCAAACAAAACTAGCAGAAAAAAAACACCAAGCTAATTTTTTTATGCTCTTCACTCTTTAGTTTCAGATTTGAAAAGTGTTATAGCTCTGAGTTCTAGGGGCACTACCCCCTTGCCCCCCCCTCTCTGTATACGCCCTTGCATCACCTGAAATATTTTTGACTTTTAATGAATATAAATTTAAAGGATTTTTTTGTAAAAAAAATTGTTATGCGTAGGTCTAGTCCGTATGAAAAAAAATCTTTAATATTCCGGAACTTTTTTCTGACATAAAGCTACAGCTTTAAAACTAAATTTTTGAACAGCCCTTGAATCATGGATGTAGAAACATGTGACACATCTTGATATCTGTCTAAAATAAAAACAAAATAGTTTTTACATTTTTTACCCTTTTTTGCCAATTTTGTTCTACCTTCTTTAGAACCCATGAATTATTATAGCTATTTTTTTATTAGCTGTCCTTGAAAATTGGGCTATGAACACGCATTTCAATTCCCTATACTCCCCTGCCAACAGGCTATATATAGATTCAGACCTCTAAGCCTTTATTAGGTTAAAGAGGGATGAAATGGGTGTAGGTGAGAAGTACATCTTTGCTGTGTTTACCTATATGAAGAGTACTGTGAATAAAAGGTGTGAAGCGAACTGAATTTCTATGAACGCAATTAAATAAATGTTATTAAGGTCTGTTGTCCTAGCTCTAAAGAAGAATTATGGTGGCCGGAAATCTGAAAGATTAAAGGAAGAAGATGAAGATCAGAGCCAAGGAACAGAAAATAATAATCAATAATACGGATATTATCAATAATCTAGCAAGAGTATTTTAATAGCTTAGAAATTCTGGATAATTTGGATTGAATCTAGAGATAATCTTTAGATTATCTCTAGATAATCTATATTCTCTAGATAATCTAGATTATCTAGATTATCTCTAGATTGATTATCTAGATTATCTCTAGATAATCTAGGTAATCTAGATAATCTAGGTAATCTAGATAATATAGGTAATCTAGATAATCTAGGTAATCTAGATTATCTCGATATTATCTAGACAATCTAGAGATGATCAATAATTTCTAGATAATCTAGAGTATCTCTAGATAATCCTGAGTATCTCTAGATTATCTAGACTATCTCTAGATGATCAAAATCTCTAGATAATCTAGATAATCTAGGTTATCTCTAGATTATCTAGATTATCTCTAGAGTATCCAGATTATCCCTAGATTATCTAGAGTATCTCTTGATTATATAGACTATCTCTAGAATATCTATAATCTCTAGATAATCTAAATAATCTAGGTTATCTCTAGATTATCTAGATTATCTCTAGGGTATCCAGATTATCACTAGATTATCTAAAGTATCTCTAGATAATCTAGAAAATCTAGATTATTCAGATGGTCTCTAGATTATCTAAACTTTCTCTAGATAATCTAAAATATCTAGATTATCTAGATTATTTAAATTATCTCTAAATTATCCAGATTATTTCTAAATTATCTAAACTTTCTCAAGATAATCTAAAATATCTAGATTATTTAGATTATCTAGATTATCTCTAGATAATCTCTGGATGTTTAAAAATCTAAATAATCCACCTTGTTATCTGTATAATGATGAAAGATGAGTATAAGTTTATTATCTCTGAATATTGTGAAAATCCAGATTCTTGGGGAAAATCTAATATAGTGTAAACTTAGTTAAACTAATTACAAGTTTTTTTCCAGAGTATATGGAGGTGAAGAGAGCTTACAAGGGGGGGGTAGATCAGGAGGGTAGGGGGTGAAGAGAGCTTACAAGGGGGGTAGGGTAGATCAGGAGGAGGAGGTGAAGAGAGCTTACAAGGGGGGTAGATCAGGAGGGTAGGGGGTGAAGAGAGCTTACAAGGGGGGGGGGTAGATCAGGAGGGTAAGAGGTGAAGGAAGAGGAAGGAGGGAGGAGGCCAATGCATTGGGATTTGGGGATATAGAAAAAAATGAAGATGAACCCTAGTTTTATTTCCAGTTAATGCAAGTTGTATAATGTATTGTGCCAGGTTTTATTGAGACAGATGTGGAATCTTTTTAATCTAATAGAAACTTAGTTTTGAAAATTTGAGTTTCTTCAATATTTAGATCTTCAAATTGGCTGGAATGGATATGGATGAAGTGGGGGGGCTAAAAAGTTGGCTAGGCTGGTGGTATGGACATGAATGATCAGGGGAGGTGGGCTGAAGAGTTGGCTAGGCTGGTGGTATGGACATGAATGATCAGGGGAGGTGGGCTGAAGAGTTGGCTAGGCTGGTGGAATGGACATGAATGATCAGGGGAGGTGGGCTGAAGAGTAACCTTGTACATATTCTGGATACATTCTTAAACCTATACTGGATACAACCTTGATCCTATACTGGGTACAACCTTGAACCTATAATGGATACAACTTTGATACTATACCGGATAAAACCTTTAACCTATACTTGATACACTCTTGAACCTATACTGGTTACAACCTTGAACCTATACTGGATACATTCTTGAACCTATACTGGATACACCCTTTAACCTATACTGGATACAACATTGAACCTATACTGGATACAGCCTTGTACCTATACTGGATACAACCTTGAACCTAGACTGGATACAACCTTGAACCTATATTTGATACAACCTTGAACCTATATTGGATACAACCTCGATCCTATACTGGATACAACCTTGATCCTATATTTGATACAACATTGACCCTACACTGGATAATACCTTGAACCTATACTGGATACAACATTGAACCTATACTGGATACATTCTTGAACCTATACTGGATACAACCTTGAACCTATATTGGATACAACTTGATCCTATACTGGATACAACCTTGATCCTATATTGGATACAACCTTGATACTATACTGGATACAACCTTGATCCTATACTGGATACAACCTTGATCCTATACTGGATACAACCTTGAACCTATACTGGATACAACCTTGAACTTATAAAAACCTGCGAAAAACGCTGAGGTCAAAACTTTTAGATCTTAAATCGGTTTATAACGCGCTGAGTTGGTTATCCTCCCCGGTCATGAGCAGTTCGATTTAAATTTTGAATTATTTCTTCATTGATTGCTTATATATCCCAGGAATTAAACTTTAACCGATCAATTTAAAAGTTTAAACTCGAGCTTAGTCGATGCAGCTCAGCGCTATCCCAACCAAAAGTTGTAGCCTCTGGACAACTTACAAAACCCCTCGAATTACTTAAAGCACAGAAATCCAAGTGTAAAATCTATTCATGTAAGCATAAGAAACCTCATGTAAAAGATTGAAATTAATAGTGTGGTTCTAATCGTATTCAAACTTTAGACAGTATTTTCAGCCTTGTACATACTCTGCCTGAATTTTTGGAATGGTACATAAGACATGTACAAATGTTAGTACATTGGACATTGTACATAAATTGAATATAAGGCGCTTTAAGCTTGTAGTTAATGACACAAGTATATATATACATACAGTTCGTATTTTCATTCGAAAAAAATTTTTAATATTTATCTTTACAAAACTTTAGATTCCGATTAAACACCCACAAGCACTCGAATTTTAAGTTACTTTTACTGGTCTTAAAAACAGATCTTAAACCAAACTTAAATACGGATTTTGTATTTGATCTCTGTTAAAATTTCTTAACTTTAGGCATAAACTTCGAAAAACATGTTTTTAGCATTTTGTCAAAATTTCTGCGATAAATCCGTAAATTGGTAGATTTATTATTTAAAGGGACTGTAGTCGTATTTTCAAGTGAACCAATCCATTTAAAAAGAGGGGAATGTTCCCAAAGGATAAATATACAAGTCACTTTTGTAGAGAAATCTCCATTCATGATAACAAATTTTTAAAAAATCCTAAATGGATATATAACACAAAGCTTGTAAGGGTATCGTTGTAAATCGGGTATGCCACTCTTTTTAACAAAAATTCACTTGAAATTCCGTTTATTGTCACTTTAAAAATTCGATTATATCACGATTCATGCCAGTAGGCAGGAACATGAGCTTAGAATAATATCAAGCGTATATTAAATATAAGTACAATAAAAAATATTATGAAAACCCCGGTTTCCACTGATTCTTAGAAATTAGTATCTCTCTAGAAGCTCATTATCAATTTAGAGATTTATTTTTTGATTCGTACCAATTTGCTTAATCCTCATAAAATCATCTATTTATATATACATATATAAATATTAAAATATATGCAAAACTGCTTTTATTTTCTCAAAAAAAGTTAATGTACCCCTGCATTTTCGTTATTTTGATGTTGCAAAATGAGAATTGAGTTAGTTATTCATAAATGCATCTTGTAAATCCATTGTATTTCCCGAACTACGTTAATGTAAGAGATAAGAAAAATCCCCACAAAGAAAGGGAAAATTGAACTGCCATGAGTCATGGTTGAACTCTCAAAGTGCTGGCTTGAGAATCTCTTCAACAAGGTTTATATTCCTTAACAACTTTTTAACTTTTAAGTATTAATAGGAATATTTTCTGGAATATTGAAAACCTTTGAAAACAATTTAAAGTTTTAGATTATATTTTTATTTGACCTGATGCACCTCTTCTCCATCCTTCAATACTACATTTTCCTATTATAATATGACTAATCTATTTGTGTTTTGTTATTTGTTAAATATCTATGTACTGGTTATTTACATGTATCCCTTGTTATATCCTATGCTCTGTGCAGTACAGTACAGCTAACCTTACCATTATCTTACATTAAAGACTACTGATGTACATTAAACAGCTGATTAAAAACACTTAACAGCTGATTACGTACACTAAACTACTGATTACATGAACTTGACAGCTGATTACGTACACTTACAGCTGATTATGTGAACTTATTTCAGAAACATAACGTCTGATTTATAGCTCAATCCTATTTGTACACTTAATAGCTGAATAGTTAAGAACAATTAAAAATTTGTATAGTTATGTCAACCCAAAATTTAATGGTTATGTACATTTAACAACAGTTTACCCTTGTACAAAAAATCTTCTGTACTGCATAGAAACTATCTTGCCGGGTGCTAATAATAATTTATAAAGATGTAATATTATAAGTGATACCTATAGTTTTATTCATGTTTTAACTCTGGTTTAATATTTTACAATGTACATATATAGTTTATAGAAATTATAGATATGGAGATTTATATATAGATATATCTATATTTATCCTATATTAAAAACAGTGAATATATGTAAAAATATAAAAAAGACATATAAATATATATATTAGAATTTACATAGATAATTGTTTTTATCTCAAAATTATTTTCAGGGCCATTCAGTAGATTCTGAATATTCAGGGCCATTCAGTAGATTCTGAATATTCAGGGTCATTCAGTAGATTCTGAATATTCAGGGCCATTTAGTAGATTCTGAATATTCAGAGCCATTCAGTAGATTCTGAATATTCAGAGCCATTTAGTAGATTCTGAATATTCAGGGCCATTCAGTAGATTCTGAATATTCAGGGCCATTCAGTAGATTCTGAATAGTCAGGGTCATTCAGTAGATTCTGAATATTCAGGGTCATTCTGTAGATTCTGAATATTCAGGGCCATTCTGTAGATTCTGAATATTTAGGGCCATTCAGTAGATTCTGAATATTTAGGGCCATTCAGTAGATTCTGAATATTCAGTGCCATTCAGTAGATTCTGAATATTTAGGGCCATTCAGTAGATTTTGAATATTTAGGGCCATTCAGTAGATTCTGAATATTCAGTGCCATTAAGTAGATTCTGAATATTTAGGGCCATTCAGTAGATTCGGAATATTCAGGACCATTCAGTAGATTCTGAATATTTTTATTTTCTTTAATTTGCTATTTTTCCTTCATTGA